GTTTATGTTTCAGGTGATTATTTAATTTATTGTAAACTATAACAAAAGAGATTTGAAATATAGGAAGGTTTGATTTGATCAACCCCTCAATCATGTCTCCTCCTTATGAAAAGGATGATGTTTCTCTACGTGTCTCTTTTGGCGTGCATTTTTGGGGGCAAAAAAAATGTGAGGAAGGAAATCGAAGAAGGCTCCAGTCCCTTCAACAAATGATTGTAAGAGACATGCATAGAGAAGGAAGGTGGCGATGGAGAGTGGTTAGGGTACGCCGTTATAGATCAATATTTGGTGGAAAGTGACTTTTAAAATCTCCTAATAAATATATCTTTTAGCTCTTAAACGAATTCATTCATGTTATACTCCGACTAATTTATATTAATTTGATAGTAGATTCAGGATGAATTTTCTTCGTAAGTCTCGATAAAAAAAAATAATAGATATTCCTTTTGTTCTAAAATTGTTGTCCAGTTTAGATTTTCACTTTTCGTTTAATTTATGCTAAAAATAAAAATCTGAATTGAACAATAATTTCGAGATGAAGCGAGTACGAAAACTCAACACCTTCATTGGGATATATCATATAAACTATACAATAGGACGGAAACATCATTTCACCATATTGAAATAGTTCTATGATTTCTTATAAACTTTGATATTTTTCAGTAAAATTTATATTCTCGATTTCTTATTATATCCTTCCACTGTTCTTCTCATCACACATAATCCACCCATCCTTCTAATAATCAACAAAATTATCGTCCGTAGTTATTAGACGAATCCACAGTCAATCAATTTCGACGAAGTGAAAGGAATTCGTCATAAAGACCATCTATTGTTTGTTAGACAGCTAATCACCTACTCTAATAAGCCAATTGTACTTACTCCGCAGCTTTGAACTTGTTATGAAAATTATAAGTCAGACACAAATAATCTAACTTTATGTCTAAACATAATTTATTTAGTTTCTTGTTTAGACATTAATACGCACGAGTTCTAATCCAGATATTTTTAGGCCAGCTCTATTTAACACGTAAAAGAAAGTTAATTAAGGTCTAGCTTTAAAACAAACTTCGTTCGCACGGTTTGTTAGAATTTTTTATTTTTATTTTTTTGAGTTAGCAAGCATATATAACGATTTAAAATTGTTTAGATATACTAATATTGTCAATTTTCCATTCTACTAATAAAATTATCACATTATCAAATTATCAAAATTTTACCACCATACAGAAATGGCATTCCCTTTGTCACTGTATAATTTTTCCATAGTAATATATGGAGCATGTGCCTTTTAAACTTCAAAGCTCGCAACTAGCTTTTCAATGAAGGACCATATGAACATCATGACTATTACGTACGTATGAAAATAACGTTCTCGTGTAAATTAATTACTACTACTTGAAATTGATTAATTAATTAATTATTATTGTAACCAAAAGTTTAAAAGAAGTTAAAATCTTTAGAGCCATGCAAATTACAATTGGTGACGACACAGAAAAGAGCTTTAGGTTAGGGTTTGCGTGCATGGGATGTTTTCCTCCAACCTTCAGGCAGACGCCACCTGTTCAGATCTTGTCGACCCCTCTACGACTTTTGTTTTTCTATTTCTTTAACTTCTAGTTGTCATAAATCATAATTTATAAATTGTAAATTGCTGTTCCTGCATTTATAGGATGATGATATATTTCAGTAATTTGTCATGTTTAAATTTTCAATATTACCCTTGTTAATGCAATATTGATGATTTTCTTTGTAAATGTTATAGTTTTGATAAACTCTATCTCAACTAAATTGAGAACAGTTAGAAAGACCCAAAAAAAAAAATGATGAATATTGATGATTTTGGCTCTCCGTTTACTCTAGTGAAACTCTGATTGATGGCTTATTGGAAATAGAAGAAACAATAAAGCAATATCTATTTGTTGAAAGGGAAACTTAAAATTGACAGTTGGATTTCATTAATTTTTCCAAATCAGCTAATCACAGGAGAAATTTCATAACTAAAAAAAAAAAAAAAAAAACACAATGATCAACTATGAATACGAATAAAGTGTCAGTAAAGCTTTTTAAATACGAATGCTATGAAATTATTACAGTGTATAGCAACGCTAAAGTGTCAGCAAGTATTCTCACACTTGACTGTCCATATCTCATTTTCTTTGAAAAAATTAACGAAATAACAATTTCTTGCCTCCATGAGCAAATGTGCATCCTATATTTCAATTTAATAAAAGAAAATTGCTTAATTGGCTATGCATCGATCCTTCCAAAGCTGACTCAATATGTGTAGAGGCTTCAACCCTAATTGAAATTTGGAACCCTCCAATAGTCAAATTTCGATAAATAAAAATTTCATTAAAATACTTTAATAATTTCGATACAAATAATTTTATCAGATAATTTAAATACTACATACTTTGCATGTCAAAATGTTTATGGTAGTATAACTTATTTTATTATTTGTTCAATGATTATTATCATAAAATAATTCCTAAAAATATTATAGTTAATAATATCCTAAAAAAGAGGACCCAAATAATATGAACTTTAAAACCCTATCTTTAGTAGTCTCTCCTGAAACGGCCTCTCTGCATCCTTCTCAACTCCTAAATATATAGTGCAATTTGTGAATATTTTGACCAGACATTGGAATCGAGAGGAACTCCAAAGGGCCGGTCATTCTTTAGTGCAACTAACCCTCCCAACTGGTATCATTTTCAAATGACAAATTAATGTCACAAAATTTAAAAAATAGAGAATTCAGAAATTGAATGAATGTCACATTTTGTCGTCAAGCAAATCTTGTGGGATAATATATACGAACCGTAACCCTAAAATATTGCCATGGATTTGAGATTGGAAGCACAATGCTCCCTGTTGTGGATGAGATTTTGTCGATTTGCACTGCTCTACCGGTCCACATTTTATATTGGATTATTCGTTCGAAAAATATTTGTGTTCATGATTTGCCCAATGAGAGTAGATATAGTCTAATGTTTTTGGAAGTATTTAAATAATTAGATTGCAGCACTTATATTAATTTTCATTTCCAGTATATTAATAAAAGCTCTTGTTATTACACAAAAAAAAAAAACAAAACAAAACAAAACACACACACACACACAAATTGCCACTGATTTGGGAAAGATTCACATAGCCAAAGATGCAAATAATTTCATTACTTAAGGAGGGGAAAAAAATGCACAGGAAATTTGGAAAAAAATATTGTGGGTTAGGTTTGGGGAATTCTGAGAGTGTATTTGAAAAACAAGATACAGGATGATATGCATCAAAAGCTTAATGAGAAAGTCTAAGGAAATTCTGAATAATCTTGTGGGTTAGGTTTGCAACATTTTCCTTGATGGGTTTTTGATCCCTGAAAACAAATTTCAACTTAGTGTCTGTTAACTCTATAATGTGATTCACGAATGTCCAACGGAAAGAATTAGTGAAAATTTAAATGTTGTAATTATACAAGAAGTCCTACATATCAATATATAAATATACACGAGTATTTCTCAATTTTGATAAGTTATGTTAGTTAGATGCCGTTGAACCTTTATAATTTATAAAGCTTATGGACTACATTGAAATTTTTTCTAATATTGAACGACCAAACAAGTTACAAGATGATTAAGTTAATCACTTTTCCTCTATTAGCACTAGTGATGTCTGGTCGCGCAATGCGCGACCCTGGCCCAGTCTATCTGTAGATCTTAGAAATGTTTATATTTGAAAAAACTAAAATTTTGTATTTGGAGCAATATATTTTAGAAATTTTTGAAGGATTTAGAAATATTTTATAAGTGTGATCATAGAAATATTTGTATTTTGTAAAAAAAGAAAAATTGTATTTTGCCATGTATGTTTTAGAAATGTTTTATAAGTGTTACTTATTAAATATAAATAGCTTAATCGAATATATGTGTTGAAGTAAATGTTAGATAAAATATAAAAGTATCCTAATAAATTTAAATATTAGTAAGATGATTTATTGATGTTCTCCATTGGTCGTGCCAAATCAATACATAGTTTTGGAGATTTTTAATAGTTTTGTAATAAGCTTCATCCGAAGGGTATACGCTTAAAACAAAATTGACACTTTGTAACAAAAAACTTAATTGATCAATTTAATTTAAAAAACCACTCTAGTTGAATGAAACATAAAGAAAAAATTAAAAAGAAAAAAACGTGTCACGTAAAGAGCAAAGGGAGATTTCGTAATTTAGTTATGGTTAGACAAAAGGACAATTTAGTATTTTCTACATGTCACGTGGCAATCATATGAGGTGTTTGAAAGGGAGGTTTTTGTTTCTAATATAGTAGGATTGTGATTAGCTCCTCTGTTATTTATTTGTTATAATAGTTAAGAACTAATACATGAACCTAATAGGAGGGTAGATCTGTCCATTTAACTTGGAGGCTTCAGACACAAAAGTGGGCTCCCACAGAAGTCATCTTTCATTGGTATAATGTACAACAACATCAGGACGAACAAGGCAAGAAGGTGGTGTTATAAATAATGAAGCTTTCGAGTTATTTGGTAGGATTGGAGGGAGGCAGCCAAATCATAGGAAACAATAATAACAAAAAAAAGAAAAAAGAAAAGAAACTAATCAATCATCATGGGGAGGTCGCCTTGCTGTGATGAAAGTGGCCTCAAGAAAGGCCCTTGGACTTCTGAAGAAGATGATAAACTCATCAACTACATCAAAAAGAATGGCCATGGCAGCTGGAGAGCCCTCCCTAAACTTGCAGGTATCTAACATATTAATCATGGTCATATCTCTATATATATTTTGTATAAAACTTCACATTCCGATCAAGTTTTTTTTTTTTCTTTTTTGATGATGAATTTCGGCCTCCAGGTCTTAATAGATGTGGAAAAAGTTGTAGACTTCGTTGGACAAATTATCTAAGACCTGATATCAAGAGAGGAAAATTCACCCCTGAGGAAGAACAAACCATCCTCAATCTCCACTCTGTCCTTGGAAACAAGTATAATTCATCATGACTCTTTTATAGTACTATGTTCGTTACGAAAAAAGTAGTTTAACAGAGTAGAATATTTTCCTGTGACGATCAGATACATCAACTTTCTTCATGTTCACATTATTAACATTTACTATCTCTATGGTATTTTTGTCAACTCATCAGGTGGTCTACTATTGCTACACATCTTCCTGGAAGGACAGACAATGAGATAAAGAATTTCTGGAATACTCATCTGAAGAAGAAGCTGATTCAGATGGGATTTGATCCCATGACTCATCGTCCTCGAACCGATATCTTTTCAAGTATACCTCATCTCATAGCTCTGGCTAACCTTAAGGAACTCATGGAACACAATTCATGGGAGAAACAAGCTGTTAGATTGCAGAACGAAGCTGCTGCTCAAATGGCTAAGTTTCAATACTTGCAATATCTCCTTCAGCCTCCATCATCAATGTCACCTGCAGCTTTCTCTAATAACAATATTATTAGCCCTTCAAATGTCAGCATCCCAAATGATTTTGATGCTTTCAGTCTCCTAAACTCACTCTCAAAAGATAGTACTCTTCCATTGTTAATGGAACCTTCTTCAATCAATAATATTCCATCATCTTTCATGAATACTTCCAATAATAACTCTACTACTACCATTCAACCATCAATCCATGATTCCATCCCTTTCTCTCATTTGCCTGATTTGGAGTCTTGTCTGATCAGTAAGGATAATATGGTTCGAACCTCGAACTTTTCAGCCCTTTGTAGTACTCAAGGTGAAAATTCACCGACTTCGCCGTGGCGGCTTCCGACCTCCGATGACTTATCTCCGGCCACCTCCTCTCCTCCTCCGGCCATTCCACCGGTCAAAAACACCGGCGGCAGTGACAATTGCAGTTCGTCGAGTTATGAAGGTGGTCCATCATCATTATCATCCATTTGGCCTGAACTCCTACTTGATGATCCTTTATTTCATGAGTTTGCTTAGTAATTTATATATACTTAATACATATTTTTATAATTTGTGAGGTTTTAATTAAACTCCTTCCTCCACCATTTCTTTGCTTTGGTTTTCTTGATAGTATATACTATATAGAATTATATCCATAGTTTACGTATAAAGTATACCATTTATGATCTTATACATATGACATTACCCCCCAGCTATCCGATAGTTTGTGGTGAGTTTTTTCTATAAATAAATGTTCTGAGTTGAAAGCTGCTTACCATGATCAAGTGTAATTTTAGGGCATATTTGTTATATGAATAGTTGATAATCATGAAATGAACTGCTTACCAAATACACTAGCTAGCTAGCATCTATGGTAACATATCTACCCCAAAATGATACTAATAGTGATTCTTTTGCTCCAAAAGAAGAGTTCTATTTGTTGCAAGTAGTTTTTCTTCCTCATTTTCTTTCCTTCATTTCAATTAAATGAATGGTTTTCTTTGTGGTTGTGATGAAAGCTGGTAGGGTTTTTATAAAAACCATGTTTATTTGGTCATTGCATATTGTCTTCTTCTAAATTGATGACTACAGGACATTACAGTACAAGAAGAAGTGTAGTTTCAAAGACAGAAAACTAAAATTAAAAAAAAAAACAAAACAAAACAAAAGAAAGGGGAAAAAAGAAGAGAAAAGAAAGAAAGAATAAAGAAGAGAGGAAATACATAAAACAACTAGAACGGCCAAACAAATGGAAAAAGTCCAAGTTTTGATTTGTTGTCTCATTTCTAATTAAGGAATTATGTACCCATGATCAATGAATTGGGTAGCAATATTTATTTTTCAAGGAAAATGGAAAGAATCTTGAGAACTGAACGGGAGTACCATATACACTACAAGCAAACTTTAAATTTTCTTTCTTATTTTAACAAGCAATGAACCAATATCCATGAGAATCAACTATGAGAGTTGGTTCTTTTTTGGGATCTATTTTAAGAGGGTTAAGTAGATGTGATTGTGGCTGCTGCTTGACCGAATCATCCATTCCATCGATCTATATAGTGGGCCTTATAATCACTCAACTGCTCTCAGAAAAAAAAAAAAAAAACATAACTTTCAGTTAATTTTTATCTTAGACTCCTACCAATACTTTATATACATACATACATATATACATATATATATTTATATACGTGAAATTCTAGAGTTCAGTTGTTCTTTTTTTACTGAACCATACCGTTAAATTTTAACCAATCATGATTGAGGCCATAACATGTGTTCATAAGGTGAGAAACATGATAACATGCCCCAAGATAGTATTTATTAATTTTTATATTTTTAAAAAATTAATTAAAGATGATATCAATGATGTGAAACTAAAAATAATTAAAGATGATAACAATGGTGTGAAACTACCAGCATTTTTGAGAATTTTTATAAATCTTTAAAAATATTACAGTACCATGAGTAATAATCCACTATTTGTAAATGGTAAGAAGGATTACAAATAAATTAGAATTCATTATTTCATGTGTATGACAAATTAACTCTGTGAATTAAATTCTTTATATTGTTTAGCGGCTAGGGCAAACAAAGAGTACATCACTGATTTTGGTTCATGAATTTTAGAGAGAAGAAGGGCGGCGAGATGACGGAGGTAGTGTTGACAGCGGCAGTGTGGGGGACCTTTTTCCTTCCAAACTCTAACAGCTCCTTTATAGCTGCCACAACCATCTCCAGCTCATCTGCATAAGCTGACAACCAAGGATTTATCTTCATTGATGCCTACCCATTTTTCCCAAAATCATACTTCAAAATCCCATCTTGAACCTTGTAATTTGGGATGAATCAAATTCAACATTTATGGGGAGAATGACATTCCCAACAGGTCACCGAATGCCAGACAAATCTAATCAAACGACCATTATCCACGGAACACCACATATCAGTGTAGACAGAATTCTCCACACCTTTGCTAAATTCCCGTCAAGATAATTGATGTTCTTGGAGATTGAAAATCTGATCGCCTGTGATCTGGATTGAGTTTGTACTCAAAATCTGATTATTAACAATATCGTGTTCATCTCAAAATAAGCATTAATTAAATGTTCTTCCTTTCGAATTTACGAGAAACCAATCAATAACAACTGATCAATTTAAAGTGAGAGGAAAAAGGGAAAAAGAGGTGGTAATACCGTAATAACAACCGGTTGAGTTGGTTATTTGTCGAAGAGAATTATATGGTGTTTGAATCTCTATTATCTTTTATGGTGTGTCCTCTTTAATCTGATGAGCATAATTAATTTCCTTGATCTAAGGCTATTATTATTGACTGAACCGTACAGTCGACTGGACTGTAGTCGTTCCCTTTATATATATATAATTAATTAATTAATAATAGATCTTCACATCAATTGTAGCTTGGATAAAATTAAAATATGTATATGTACAAGTTATTAGCTCTTGGTCTATGTAATAAAGGTAATGAATCAATTAACTATAAATCATCATTCAAATTAATACTTTCATAAACGTGCAACAGAGACCAATAGCTAAATTTCCTTGTTCAGCAGAACTTTTACTTCACAAAAAAACTTTCATTATTGAAATGAGAATTAACCTGAATATGGTATATGTTCATTTAGAATTATCTTGTTATGGCACTGGTAAAAGTAAAATTATCTGTATCCATGGTGCCCGTGTGGAGTGTGGGGGCTGACCAAAAGATAAATGTCAAAACTGTGACGTACAAGGTTTCTCAATGATAAGGGGGGCCCAATTAGTTAGGAAACCTAAGGTTTAAGAATTAATAAATCAACGTCCAAAAACAACGACATACTGTATATGAACCGATACATAGCTAATTTAACTGCTCACTGATAGTTAAAGGGCTAGCTTTGCTAATACTCTATCGATCGGTTCATAAAAATAATTCACATTATAGATTAAAAATTGTATAATTTTTAATATAATTCATAATTTATAATGTAAATATTCTTTGAAAAAAAGAGTATAATATGTGCGGTATCATTATCAACACTGGCAAGATTCATGTGTATGTCTACTGGTCTTGATCAGTAATATTAGATCATTTTTCGATGACAATTTAAAAAAAAAAAAAAATTCTGCCATTTTGTGGCTGATATTAGATTTTTTTTCATAAGGGGATTCCGGATCGTATAAAATATTTATGCCAATACAGTTTTCCAGATTTTTGGAAATGTTACTTTAGAAAAAAATGAATAAAAAATCCAGACAGTGACACTGTCTCCAATTCAAAGAAATGTGGCATCTCGCCTTTCATTTTATGATTACTTTTCAGCACGAAATAATTAAGGGAAATAAGCAATGAATCCTAAAAAAATCAACGGGTAGGTAATGAGTTGTATAGAAAGGTGTCATTTTTAGCTGCGTTCCGGTTGAGTTTTTGTTTTCTCATTTTTTTTTAACCATGTATATATATAATAATTATGATGTTCGTTCGATATGGATAAAAGTGGAAATAATTCGTTGAATTCCATGACTTTGGGGTGAATGATACGCAAATTAGTACACGAACTCTTAATGACTTATTCGAAAATGTTCTCTTCTGTTTTAGAACGATGATCATATATAATTCTTGTTTATTGAATTATATATTGATGTTTGGACATGGGAAAGAAAAGAAAACTATCAACGCAAACATTCCGTTTGGCTATTGATGGCATTTTGAGAGGAGAGATGTGTGGATTTCTTTACAGCTCGGAAGTAAGTGAAAGGGGGGTAGTAGCTAGGAAAAATTGTTTGTATGTTAATGTCTAAAGCAAATATTTTCTCCTTCTCAAAATAATTGATTCATCCGTGAAACTTTTTAATTTAAGTTTGTCAGGCTATAACCTCTTTCTTAGAACCGAAATAAAAGATTAAAAAAAATTATTTAGTTTGAATTTTTATTTTTAATTTAAATTACTACAAAAATAAAATATCAAACTGGACAAATACTTCGGAAGAGGATTAGTTTACTTCATTACAGCTTTTCTGTTATAAAGACAATACAATAATCGTAACAAATCGTAGAAAGACTAAACAGTGACGCTTTTTCAGGAGTAAGGACTTCATTGTACTTCAATCCAAAAACGTGGATTGTATATTGTTTCGGCCTTCGGGGAGGATGGAGTGATTCATTATTAGAAAGATATTTTTGCTTCCTGGTCTCGTGATTTATATGTTTAAATTCAACTTTGTTAATAAAATTGTGTGTTTAAGTATGAGTCAGTCACTCAGTAGATATAAAATTCTTATCAAAGAAAATGGATACAGTAATCCACTAAGACAATGTTTTTATAAATTTTTTTTAAAAGGAAATTATAGTAGTAGTTATAAAATTACGTACAGAACGACAAGAACAATATTCAAGGTTTAGTTTCCAAGAATTTTTTTTTTAAGAGAATAGTGATTCTCCACTTACTCGTGGCATAACTCGAATCTGTGACTTATTTAAAAAAAGGAGACATTCTACCATTAAATTGTATCTCATTGTTCGGTTTTCAAGGACTTTTTTCTTTGAATGTGTATTTTTTCTCCCCTTTCTAATACTTTTTTTTTTTTTTTGAGATTTTGAAGTTAATCTCGATTCAACATTCTCTTATGTTAATCTGCTTCAATTTTAGACCAAAAACTGAGAGAAAGTGATCGTTCTCGTGGGCGTACTTAGTATTCCCTTCTGATTCTAAATTTTACATAGTATATTTTTTTTCGATTGACAAAATTTTTTAAAAATTATATATTCATATTCCTTGTGTTCTTCTAATTATTAAGAAGTATTTTTAAAATTTTTTTCAATTAAAAATATACTAAATAAAACCGAGGACAAATCAAATACCTTATAATAAGTATCGGAGGAAGTATATTTGATTCTCTACCGTAAGTTGGCTCTCAAATTCCGATAGACTCTATTGAAATATCCACTTGTATTGTCACATAAAACCAACGTACGTGATTCTAATTTGAGACCTATGGTCTTTTTATTTGTTTAGGAAATTAAAATAGTCGAGAGATTTCAACACAGGACCTAGTTTGTAAAGATTCAATTAGCGGAATTTCAATAGCGTTATCAATGTCGCTCGATCAAACCAAATTGAGAACTATATTAACTTTGAATAGATTATTGTACATAGTACCAAATTAATAAGGATGAAAATTGTGTCAAAATATATAACGTGTGCTTGTAGTTATAGAGTTGAAGAAATTTACAACACACCTCATTAAAGAAGAAATGAGGGAGAAAAAATGGTCATGTTTCCTTCACGAGTAGGTAGGTGGACTTCGTTTCTTTTCTAACAAGACATTGACTAGTTTATATTATTAACTTCATAAATTCTCCAAAAGAAAATGTAAGTAAGGTTCTAGAGAAAAAAGGAGATTAGGTTTGCAGTGATACTTCTCTTTGAATCATAGTGTTTGGCCTTCAATTGTTACTATTTACAGGGTCAGGTTGTTAATCAATGGACATGGACCTGCAAATCTATTGCAAACAATTGCCTTCCTTTCTATCTCGATTGGGTTTTACTTGGAATTTTTCAATTTGGTTTAGATTATAGGTTTCCATAAGTTATGTAACTTATTGTATGTAGTTCCATTACCAACAAGGTGTTCATTAGACGGAGCCGATGGAAAAGGTACATATGCTTGGTTTGCACATCGCGTGTTTTGTATCTAAGTGAGCTTTAATGAGAAATTTTGAACTCAATTTTTACCTTTATGTTGAAGCCTTTGATAGCCTAGGGTGATAATACTTTTTAATTGTTTTGTTGGAAATAGATTTTTGTTTGCAAAAATTAAGTATGGTGGCAAGTAGGAAGCTTATCGTAGATATCTATATTGTTAGGCGGTCTTAGAGCTCCATTTAGTTGACTAATCAGAGAGATGTTTTTGTAGACACATAATTCTTCGATATTAGGACAGAATAAGAAGAAGTGCCTTCCTGCATCAAAATGTACTTCAAGCGATAGGTAAAGATTAATTTCTAATGGAATTGGAGTTGCACAAAAAGGTCTGCTATGGCAAACTTCAATAATGAAATATGTCAATTGTTTAGTGCTAAACAAGTACCATTGAAGTAGAAGCCAATTTTACATATTCACAACTTCTTGTTTACCTTTGTACATAATCTGTACGATATTTTGTACATGATGTTGCCCCGAAATTAAAATTAAAAAAAAAATCCAAACATTGGTGAAATATGCACTAAAAACTTCATCAGGACTCTTAGTTTCAGACGTTCATTAAGGTATACACTTAAATTCAGACCTTTATTTTCACTGTTTGTCGGCTGGAATTTTTGAAAGACTGACGTTATTTTTTCACAGTTAAAACCAATATGCAATCCGCACTAAAAACCTTCTAACCAGACCATATAAGACAAGCATAACAGCTCTTCAAGTTTAAGTGACACAAGTTAACTTTGGAATGTAGTTCAATTGTATTTTTTAAGCGTAAGTTCTGTAAATTTAAAGTCATGATAAAGAGTAACTTCTAAGAAAATTCAATCTTGATCATATTGTTTATTCGATAAAATGTAATTGTTACGCTTGGAACAATAAAAGAAAAAAAAAAGTTATGTAAATTTATTACTCTGTATTCCATTTCAATTAGTGTTGTTTCCATTTTAATTGTAAGTATTTATTTCTGCTGCATCTGAATACATGACCACCAAAACTATTGTAGTATTATGTATTGGTCTAATAGACTTTATCTTACCTTTTTTTTTTTTTTCAGTCTTTATCTTACTGTTTATCTAGGCCTGATTATGAAACTTACTAGCCCAATCCATAATTCGGCCCAATAGATAAACCCCTTCTTCCTCAGTCGTGCCTTCTTTCCCCAAAACCTCATCCCTCTCCATCGACTGAACATTCCGGCGGCAAGTTGATTAATTTGATCACCGGTCTTCTTCCTCAGCTGCCGGAGCAAACTCTTCCGATCCAAGAAATTCATCCTTATTTTTCGCTTCATTCACTGGTAAGTGTTCCATTTTCTGTTCATTCTTTCAGCAATCGAATATTGATGTATGTCGATGATGAATTTTGTCAATTTGTGAGTTTCTAAACTATGTTGATGGTATTGATTGATTACCCTTCTAATCTCTCACGGGATGGGATTTTTTTTTTATTCCCTCCATTTTTGTTGTTTCTTACTCCATCATCCTCAAGTTTGTCTGCTGTAGAAAGGTTTGCTCCATGTAAGATGGTTCAATATTTGAAATTTGTCCTGTATTCAACTAAATATTGTAAGCTCAGGAAAGGATTTAATATCAGAAAAGTATTGATTCAGTAGTTAGCTCTGCTAAATTCCATAAAATTCAAAAACCGTGCGATTAGGTTATGCGGAAACGCAAATTTAGGGGCTTGTCTTGTGAAAGTTATTGGCTGACAAATATTTTTAGATCTTAGTTTGAGAATTTGACAAATCAACTGAAACGGCTCTAACACTTTTTTTTTTCCGGTTCCATGAACAGATTAGGATAGAAGGATGGGGAGTAGATTTGGAAGAAGAGTAGTTCATTTTGCTAACCTGCCTATTAAGCTCCTGATGCCTACCTCTTTCTCCAATATTACTGAAATTGCCCTGAAAACAATCCCTTCTGCTACCAAGGTATTCTTTTTAATATGCAGCATATTCTATGCTTGATTTCTTCTGATTTTTCTTGTTGATTTGTTGTGTTTAATGATATGGGAGTGTTTTCTTCTTTTTTCTTAGATTGAGATTAAGAGGGTATTGGAGTCACTGTATGGGTTTGAGGTGGACAACGTAAGGACCTTGAACATGGATGGGAAGAAGAAGAAGCGTGGTGGCTTATTGATTGCAAAACCTGATTATAAGAAAGCTTACGTTACCTTGAAATACCCTCTGTCCATATCCCCTGACGTGTATCCCATTAAGATTATTGAGGAGGATAAAAAAAATTTAGCTAAGCCTTCGAAGAAAACCAGCATTGAGGATGCCGAGCCAAAGACTACACATTGGCTTGATGATAAAAAGAGTGAACCCAAAAGGGGATCCTACAGATACAGGCGAGAGAGCTTCAGCTCAACTCGTGGTGAGCGTGGCGGAACCAATGGTGGGGATGGTGCTTCTAGGCCAGTTGCCAAGTTTCCATGGAGCAGTATGAAGTCGTTTTCGAGATAGTTTTTGTACAATCTTTGTATGAAAATCGGCATATGGTGCTTCAGCTTTTTATAGGCCTTCGTCGCAGTTAAAGCGCGGAACTTTCCAAACATATTGGTTTTCAATAATTTAGGTATGATTTGTGTTAATTTTTCCGTAATTTTGATGGAGTATTTGTCTATATTTGCCCATCTTGAGAATCACATTAGTGGAGTTGTTACAACTTTTGTTTACAGGCTAATGATTGCATAGACATGTTCTTCAGTCATGAATGCTTTTGAGGACATGCTGATTCTGATTACAATAGAAGAAACGGTCTTTGATTCCTTTTCGCTATGGATTTTTCCAACTGATATCTTCACATGGCGTAGATATGTTTGAAATAGAATGACTGGAAAGTCTTTAGTTGCTAAATGGTGCTAGAGTTTTACAAGGAAAAGGGAAGAGGAAAACTAAATGCCATCCCTCCAATTCCTGTCCAGATTCCAGTGTTAATGTTTTCTTGTTTGATTTCATTGAGTTCTGGAGACATGGGTTCGGGCATACTTCAAGATATAGACATCCTCCTTCTGAACTTGGTTTTATGGTCTGAATGAGATGCATTTTGGCCTTCCACCGTTTCTTCCTCGTCTGTTTTCCTATGGAAAAGAGATGGCTTCTTGATTTTGCTCCATCCAAATTTCCATGTTGACAGACTTCGTTGCTTTGTACCGAGCTTTCCATATTCTTGCTGTAACTCAAAGTAATCTGTTTGCAACTCTGTCATTTTGGCCTTTACTGACTCCAATTCTGCCCTGAGACTATTCACTTCATTCTTTGAACACAACCAATTTCCGCCTTCATCCTGGGTGTCATCACTGGCTGTTTTATCTTTTCCTCGTATAATTGCCCTCATCTTTATCTGTTCTGAGAACAAAACCTGTAATGTGTTTCTTTAAAATGTTAGAATATTTGGTATAAGTTTAAGATTCCAGAAAAATGAATGTTCCATCGCATTGCTGGAAAACTGATCCTGGATTATTTTGCTTATTCCTTTGTACATGCTTAATATGATTAAGTTGTATCAATATGAAGCTGAAAAAGTCACATTTGTTTGAAGCATCAATTCACATTAGGTTAATGCACCTTGAGCATGGGAGATATGTTGCAGTTTGAAAGAATATGAGGGTTGTTAAAGAAGCCATTCTGGCATATATGTTTACCTGGATTACAGTTCTTAGAGGCAACCTGTCATTTTGAGCTGCATGTGTGCATGCGTCGAGTGACAGCTTCTCGCTATTCATGATTTTGCATAGCCTTCTGCGGTCATGATCTGATAGTGAAGTATGCGTCTGTAGGAAATTAAAATACTAATAAATATTATCATCAAAGGATATCAAATCTTTTGAAAATCTGTAAGATTACGGCTGACCTTTAGGTATATATCAATGGCTCTATAAAGGCCATCATGACATGTTCGAGCATTCCCAGGCAAGGATTCAGCTAAGACTTGAAACTTTGTGATTGAGAGATTGGGGTCTTTTGCAATTTCTGCTAGATAATTGTCCAGGAGTTTGCTGACTGTCAGTGTTCCTGGATTTTCTTGTTGCTGCTGCTGTTGTTGCTCATACAGTAAGAAGTATTCCAGAATCCTTTGAACAACATCTGTGTCATGTATTGCATGGTCATTGGTCATGCTGCATCATTATTTGAAACACGTGAGCATGGTAGAATTATAGAATAGTGGTTAGAGTATTCATAAAATTTGTTATTCAAAGCTTTTTGGGTTGTCTGTAACTCCTGAGACTATTGAGATGTCATGTATTAGAAAAAGAGAACTATGAACTCACTTTCCTGGCTTCCCCTGATCTCCTACTGTATAAGTAGGTATCAAAAGGTCATTAACATTCGCTTTCTCCAAAACCATTCCAACTCTTTTCTCAAGCTCCGAAATTAAAGCTTGCGATGTGGAAAATACCAAGGCCATCTTCAACATCCATAGAAGGAATTTACAAGTAACAGCTTCTTTTTGAGGCGGAAGTACACTTACTAGGTTCTCTATGATCATTCTGTACTCCTTGCTTTTTCCTATTGCACCTTCTTGGCTGCTGCCGCTTGTTATACTCCAGTGCAACCCACTTTGCCAGCAGCCATGTCGCCGAATACCTTCCTTGCCTAGATCCATGCTTGGCAACCACTTCTCTGCATATCGCATGATACAAGAACCTATTATTTCTGGATTCATTCCTTTGGCCTTGAGGGCTACAATTATTCTTGTAAAATGATCAATTCGAACTGTAGCCACATCCTCAAACCACCACTCATCTTCACCAATGTTTTCCCCAGTAGCTGAGTTTTCTTGACTAGCCTTCCAAGAAATTGAGTCGCAGCATCTTCGGACAATCTGAAGGTTTTCAGCCCATGGAGATAGGTTTTGACATGAGTTGAGGACGATGATGGAATCCATCCAGGAAGAAAGAACCACAAACGTAAAGAATGCTTCAGTCTTGGAGATGAGGTTTCCATCTTCTAGGTCTTCAGTCATTTCCAGAAATTCTGAAGCACATCTTAGTGCGGCTACATTGTGTGGGTTTAAGCCTATCGGCAACCCATAACAAAATTTCAGAACAGTTTCAAATGCTTCTGAGCCGCCAGGGAAGTTTTCTAATTTAAGATCACAACCTAGATTGGGATTTGGTTGCTGAAGTTCAATCGGACTAAGGTAGCCGCACCGTGCCGCCAAAGGATACTGTTTCAGGAAGAAATAGGCATAATGAGAATAGTATTTACTACATAAAGTTCATTTTTAGATGGAATATAGTTTATTGGTGCGAGAAAAGCTGAAAAGCCATTGTTTATGTTGTGCTACCTTGTGAACGTAGAAGGTAATGTCTTCAACTTGGATCGATAGATCTGTTGGAATCTGAGAGGTAACAAACCTGCGACATTGAAATAATGTTACTTCATATTATAACTTTTTAGTTTTATTTTTTTTGATAAAGGAGGGTGTGTACAGATTTATGTTTGCATTTTCCTGGACAAACAATTGATCACGATGGCTAAAAATCATGAACTTGATATTGAGATCCTAGGTTAGTTACCATGAATGATCTTTCTTTTCGAAGCCATCTGTTGTTGCAATGAGGTTGACAGGAACTACTATACTTTGATTATGAACTTCGTCGCGGTCTGACTCGTTGCCCGGGTGTAGACTCTGCTCCATTTGTGCAGACTCCATGGCTTGTTAATTTTGTTGCTTGGAAGGAAGTTCTGCTGATAAAAAAGAAGCAGGATTTATGTAGGGCATGAGAATATTAACCATACATGCAGTTTGTGGCTGACTTGTTTCATTTCTGTTGAATGGACCTAGTCATAAATACTTGATTTATTTAGATAAAAGTAGCAATCAAAACATTAATACTCTAAGAAGAACAGAGAGAATGTCCGGTATGAGACACCTCATTCGATTTATATGACGTTTATGCAAACTTGACCATTCGATAATCTTGTGGCTTATATTTCCATGTCTAAATGTTCTTCAAAGGAACATAGCAATGTAAATTTGCTTCCAAATTGGACCTTGTGATTGGGACTAAATATGAAGGATGAACGAGGAGTTTCTCCACCTCCGAAATTGACCATTTTGGGAGAAGAAGTGCCAACATAGAAATCTTGACCTTTCTGTGAGATTTCAATCCGATTGTTAAAGCCAAATCTCAAATGAACATAGAATCGAGCATGGCCAATGTGTATATTCATACACTCGATATCCTATCGGTTCTGAAATTAAGCCACCTAACTATAATTTTAACAAGTTGAATTAGCATATTACTACGTAAAAAGGGAATTAGCATAAGATCAAAAAATAAATTTATTGACACTTGACAGAGAGCAAAAAACTTTTTCTTTTCTTTTATTTTTTTTTTTTTAAAAAGAGTGGATTATTATTATTTTTGGAGTCGGTACTGGATAGGATACGACAAATAAATAAATAAATATTCAAACACTAACCGTGGTTTAGTAGGCGAGTTAGAATTTACCGAAGTAACATACTAAGAATACATAGATTCAGAATACACAGATTACATAAATATTAAGAATACATAGATTAAGAATACATAAATATTCAACTTCTGTGGAACTCCGGTTAAGTCATAGATTAAGAATACATATTGGAACAATATCAAGAATGCAATGTAGTCTTTGTCCCAAAAGTTATTGTCTAGTTTGGATTTTCACTTTTATTTCAATTTATACTAAATATAAAAATATAAATTGGACAATAACTTCAGGACAGAGTGAGTAAATTAACCACAACCCGACAACCTTCCATGTATTTTTAACTTCGTCTTAAGAAATTTAATTATGTCTCCAACTGCCAAAAAAAACACTTAGGGATCCACATGGACTCATGAGTTACCATTGCAAAAAATTAGAAGTTGCTGTCCAAAAGCAACTAGTAAACTCTAACCTATGCGAAATAGGAAACTAATTCGAACAGTATAAATTTTAAGTCTGATTGATATTTCCACCTCTTATAAAAACCCTCTTTGTCTCCCAATCAAAAAATAAGGACATAGAAAGTAGTGTAAGCCTGGGAGAGGAGAAGAAGAAAACAACCATGGATATTTCTGGGCAATGTATAAGCTCAAATATCAGCGATGAGGAACGTCGTATCCGTTTGAAGAAACAGTGCATGAATGCCTATAGCCATATCCCAATAGAGATTGATCTTTGTCAACCAATTAATGTTGATGATGATGATGATGATGAGCTTGTAGAGTTGAGCTTGTCAAGAAGCACAGCTGCTGATAAGTTGAGATTGAATTATGATCAAATTCAAAGCATGAAGAAAGCTTTGAGTTCTCCTTTTTACCGTACTACATCTGATCACTGGATCAACTAGGATCACTGGTACCGTAATGAGGAAGAAAAAGGGAAGACGCATTTGGCTTTTGTTTTCAATGAAGGGGTTATTTTAGCTGCTGATCATCCATCAGGCTTTGTTGACAGTTCTGTTATTCAGGTTACTGGTCACATTCTTGCGACTGTTTCGGGTGATGATGCTGTCCAGGGACTAAATTTGCTTGTTGATCTGTATAACAATGAGTGCTACGGTGGAATTCTTGTTGAAGATGCAGCCAAGTTGCTGTCTGAAGCCCTGAGGACTTATCAAGGTAAGAAGGAAGGATTGTCATTAGCGATAAAGGTCGCCGGGTTTGACAGGACGGGCTTTAGTTTGTATCGTTTGGATGGCAAGGGGTGATCTCCGCAGGGGAATGAATTTCGCCACTGGATCGGGTTATCAAATAGCGAATCGCTATGTGATTGTCTCGTATCGCTTGGATATGTCGGTCGAGCGAGCTGCAGGGGTTGGCAAACTTGCAATTTGCAGGGCTGGATACAGAACAAGTGGTGAAACTGGCGGTTTTGCCAGTGTTTACTTCATTGGAGCTGCTGGTTGGAAGACGGCCTTTTATAACTTGAACATCGAAGACACTGTGCAAACTCAATTCCCATTTCCCTTCACGGTTTGACGGCGCTTAATTAATCTTAATGTGTTGGTTTTTTTGTGTGTGTATTTGATCTATAACACTAATGACAAGTCTGTGGTAAAACAACTAAACATTATCATCTTCTTCACTCTTTTGCCAATTCTTTTCAAAATTGTTTTCGATAGAGGAACGAAGACGTCGTTTGATACGCAAAGATACATTGATCATGTCCACTGGTTAACAAAATCTTACTTCTCTTAGTATGATCAGGGAATGAATTTTGCAACTCAATCCATACTTTGACATCCCAAACATCATCCAAGATACGTTTTTCCCTTCTAGCTTTGGTAGAGGTTACGAGGCAGATCATGTTCATTTAATTTGAAATACTTGTCAGTAGATTTGACCATCAAGACCTTTCAAAATCTCAAATAACAAACTTGTCTCGTTGTATATTTTCTTTTTTGACTAGTAGTAACTAAGGCCGAAACCCCTCCTAAATCCCTTCTCTTGTGATTTCATATATGAAGTTCACCATATATGAATGGCCGATAATTGCTATGCTTTTCGTTTGTGGTTTCATTTGTGGCTCTTTAATTCGAGATTCTAATGGAGGAGGTAATAAGTTACTTTTTCGCACAATGCAAATAAAAGTGACACGATATATGCAATAAGCGAAATTATAATTTGTCTTATAGGTAATAGCCAACATAAGTGAAATTAATCTTTCAAAATTACATTTGGAAAAACAAACAAACAAACAAAATTTTCAGACAATCTTGCAACAACTAGAGAATCTACATTTTGACACACTCAAAATCTTAGAGAGATTGAAGATGGTAAAAAGCCAAGATCCAAGCGTCACGACACACCTATTTGCTTCTCTCAGTATTCTTCATCAGTTCCTTCTTCTGGCACGTAAGAAGAATCTGTAGTGTGGTCCTCCGACAATGCATGATCGAGCTCATCACTAGATGCTGTAAAATCAATAAACATCATTGAAGAACATCCCGCCTGGGGTGGAATATAGGTCTAGTAGAGAAAAATTTGGAGATTTTGAGGTGGATTTTCTTTTTTTTGTAACTTTTGGAAAATACTTCATTCGATTCTTTCAATATTGAACGTTTTATTTTTATAATAAAATTAGAATTTTGTATACCGTACGTGACGTAAACAGTTGGGGGAAATCAGTAACTGAGAGAGAGAGAGAGGGAGAGAGGAGGAGGAGGAGGAGAGAGGTTTGTACTTGTTTCATCGTAATCTTCCAATTTTGAAGGTTTAATAAGGATCTTTACCTCATTACCGGCATCTTGAATTTGCTTTATCGAATCAAGTACGGCTTGCCCACAACCGATTACCTCAATCATTTCAAGTGTTGGAATTTGAGCTAAACAGGACGGTAACTCTACCAAGTTGCGACAATCTTCCAATACCAACGTCTCAAGACACGGGAAAGTTTCATCCGACTCGCACGTCCATCTAGCTAAATCCAGTTGTTTCAATTTCAGAAACCTGAGATTGGGGAATATGGTTCCTCCTTCTTCCTCCTCCTCCATGTCCCAATTTTCTCGGGCAAATGCGTCCCTCTGTAACACGAGAACCTCCAGCTTTGGTAGCCTATGAATTGCGGAAATTTTACTCCATGAGAGGCAATGGCCTGACAGTGTTAGCTCCTTTAGATTCTGGGGAAAGCGAAATTGAGAGTCCAGATCCTCCCCTGTCCACTCGAAACTATGGAGTGAAAGTGATTCAAGTCGGCTCAAACAATCTAGTGCTATCATGCCTAAGGTTCCCACTTGGCATTTAAGTTTCCGGAGATTGGGAAACATCCTGATTACTTCATTCAGTTTTTTGAATTGACTGAATGTTACGCCGGATAAAATCTGCAGATTCTCTAAACTGCGAAAATGTTGAGGATTTGCCTTTCTTTTCAATTTCCAATTATTCCGAGAGCTAGACATATGCCTTAATCTTTTCATTTTCAAGAGAGTGTCGAGTAGAACAACCAGCTTTCCGTATCCTTCAACAATAAAGGTTTCCAAATTCGAGAGACGCTCAATTGATGATGGGATTTCCATATCGTCTCCAGCATACAAGGCCAGGTACCTCAACTCAGCAAGAAGTAGAATTGCACGCGGAAAGAAGTTGAACACATAGATTCCCCTTAAGTCCAAAACTCTTAGAAATTTGGACTGACAGAACTTACATAGGATGTCATACCAAGGTTCCACAAATTGAAGCATTTCTTTGTCATCAGCAACCAAGAACAAGGTGCGTAAACGGGGACAAAGCGGTCTGGCTTCTACAAAATCCTCCACTCTACTAGAGCGAAGTACAAGTGATCGGTATAACATGCTTGGCTCAATGGAAGTACCGAGCTCATGCCTATGTAAATGAAGCAGAAAGTGCTCTTTATTACCTTTTTCCAAGCAGAAATCACGCAAAACATAATGGAGGATGCAAAATTCCATCTTACCTCCAGGTTCTCTCCCAGCAACCATAACTAAGTTTCTATGTACTAGCTCCATCATGTAACCTTCCGCAACATCTTCTATGCAATCTCTTCCGGTGTTTACGACGAACCCTTCTGCAATCCACAACCATAATATCTCCCGCACAGGAATTTGTTGGTCCTCCTCACAATTCTATAGTGTCATTGCACTGATCTTTACCTTTGTTCAGAGTTTCTTCAACTTCTCCCCAATTACATGGCTCCATATTTGATAGAAGTCCGGCAATAACTACAATCATCAACGGCAATCCCTCACAACGTTCTGCTATTGCCTTCGCACCTGCAACTACATCTGAAGGGCTGTTTTCTAAAAAAGACATCTTTTTCCGGAATAGTTCCACACTCTCATCACTAGTGAGGAAACGAAGAGAGTGAGGAGGTTGACTGTGTGGTTCGATCTGTGAAGCTACATTCTCATCTCGACTAGTCAAGAAAATTCTACTTCCATATTCATCATCAGGAAATGAATATCGTAAGTTACTCCATGCTTCAACATCCCAAATATCATCCAAGATGATCAGATAACTGTTTCCTTTCAAGCTTCGGTAGAGAGTAAGAGCCAAATCATCATCACTCTTTTCTGAATACTTGTCAGTATACTGGTCACCAACATTTCTCAAAATCTCAAGTAGCAAACTTTTCTTGTTGTCAAGTTTGGTCACCAACATCCTCAAAGTATTGTCAAGTTTGGATTAGGGAATTGCTGACATTGAATTTCAAATTTACAATAAAGTAGTGCAAATCTCAAAATTCACTGTACAATATTTTTTTCTTTATTTTTTTGCAGGAATGTATTATATTATATAGATGCATATAATTTTCATTCCCATATGTCCACCTTCTTATAGGCTTATTTCTAATATTAAAAAAAAAATAGTGGAATCCTTTAACTGGTAGAAGAGGGAATTAAGATTTCACCTTCCAGATTAAGATTTTTCTTGTTATTGTTTTATAAATATGAAAAGATATTGTCATATCAACAATTAACATTTTATATCAGATTCCTTGTAGCAAAGACTAGGAGACGTTTGTTTTATATCTCGGGAAGGGTATGACAATAATCAACACTTACATCAAATTCCCGGAGCACCACAATAGTTTTCCTTTATCTTCTGTAGAATAAAATTTCATTATTGTATCATCATCATTGTTGTAACTTATACGGCAAAAGAGTTGAAGTTTTGCTTTGCAATTAAAAAAAAAAAAAAAAAGTTTGGTAAGTAAATCCGCCTACACCTGCTGGTAATAATACAAAGCTGTGACAAAGTGGTTAGTGACACGTGTGCCTCTCTGCCTTGTAAGGCGTGACAATATTTTTTTTGACATGAGAGACCAGATGATGATTGGATAGTGGGAAAAAGAGTTGAAACATCAGAGTCAGAACTCAGAAATTCCAAAATATCTTTATTGAACCATATAAATGACTAAAATAAATATATAAAAAAAGTATTTGTATTTCACAATTCTCAGTGAATAGAATACTACTCCATTAGTTATTGCTTCGCCAGTTTCTAATATATATATATATATATATATATATATATATATATACACCTTTCGTCCTAAAAATAATGTGGTGGACTAATACTGTATTATTAACTCAATAAATACAATTCTTTTGAAGAATAATAAGTACAAATTTGTTCATTTTTATCGATAATTTTGTAAATATAGTTTGACTAATGACTAAATTTCAATACAAGACGCATTAAATCGTAAATCCACATAACTAACTAATGCAAATTCATAATGTGAATGTACTAGAAGGTAATGATTTTCCATTAAAACAAATCTACTTACTTACTTGCCGTAATCGCTGGAATAAATGCTCTCTTCTTGACGTCAATGGCACCCATCTTATTGCATTTCATTTATTTTTTTGGGCCATCTCTTTTTTCTTTTGCAAAAAGTACAAGTATTAAATACTGACTTTCTGGGAACATAAAAGAACTTGGAAGTATAAAGAGTATAAAGTTGAAAGCCATTTTTTCATGATTATACATACATGGCCTAAAAGCCATTGCTAACAACATTTTTAATTTGGCCAGCGATGTTGCCAGAGCAATTTTTAGCTGCCAGAGCAAAAAATTATTGTTTTGACAAAAAAAAATCCTTAGTCAAAGGTAATTTTTTTCCTCTCACCAAATAAAATTCTGTGGTCCATCTGGCCATCCAATTTTCTTAATTTTTTGGGGAGCTTTTTTATCTCTCTGACTCCGCAACCAGTTGATGAGACGATTCTTTTCTTAGTGAAGAATAACCAGTGATGACCTATGATGGCAGTGCCGGCCGGAGTTCGGAGAGTCCGATATAGATGCTCTCGTCTGTTTGATATTTCAAAAGGATTTAATTGCTTTGATGAGCGGGCTAGTCTATTTTAGAAGTATCTTGCCTTCCTATTGATATGTTGGAGTATTAATCTGGTTAATTAGGTCAACGTAGTTCTGGGAAATTGAATAAGGATTCCCATTTCAAAGTCGTTTTCCCTTTTTATGAACTGAGTTTGGTTTCATGAATTTGATTTTGGTTATGGCCACAATTCAATCACAAAAACTTAACAATGATGGCCGTTGATGTTCTCCAATTATACAAGTGTTATCCAGTTACTAATCTCTAAGGAACAGAGAAACATATAACTTAACACAAACAATTTTCTTGGACTTTGGTTTTTGCTCCGTTCAACTTTGGTTCCAATATAGGGAGAAAATTTTGGAAGGCCGTAGAGATTGCTAGATTAGGAGTGGGAGAACAGTAAAGTTAGAGAAGAAAATGAAAGCCTGTACGCCTGTATAACAAATGGTGAATCAAGAGAAGAAAACGAAAGTCTGTATGATGAATCAGTGACCCAAATAGTGAAATTAGTTGGAAATAATTCAATACTCCCTCAATAGCTTGCACTTCTTTACGGGAGAAACGGATTTGAGCAAGTTAAAATCACTTTGACTGTCTAGGGGGTAATTTTGGTAAAACAATAATTTTTTGCTCTGACAGCTAAAAATTGCTCTGGCAATATCGCTGGCTTTTTAATTTTAGCTAAAAGTTGAAATTCCATATATGTTTTTTTTAACGTTTGAATTCTCTGTTGATCATTATTTTTGGAAATGGAATAGAAATGATTCATTAGCCGTTGATTATATAAATTTAATACTCTCGGTTCTAAAATTATTCTCGAGTTTAAATATTTACTTTAACTTAATTTGTATTATAAATAAAAATAAAAATTGCACACCAGTTTCGAAGTGAAAAGAGTAAATAAAATAGAATTACCTACTTTACTGTAATGATCATTTGACATGCGTCAAATATTCAAACATACTTCAAAACATTAAATATGTCAAAAATAACAAAACATGATGACTAAGGATTTATTTTTTTTATTCTATGTTTTTGGTAAAATATCAACATGTAATCTAATACATTACCATACATTTGACATTCACCTCCCCTATCGTTGTAAATGGACATATACTGATAATTTCTATGTACAACTTGAATGTCAATGAATATATTAAATATTTTGAGTTACGAATTATTAAAATTCGACGAGCATATACATTTATGTTCCTTTTATCGTCTCTTAATTATGATTTTATTCTTTCTATTCAGATTAGTCGATGCAAATCACCCTCAAAAAGTACCCTTAAAACATTTCGTCTTCTAATTTTGATTTCATTCTTTCTACTCAGATTAGTTGACGCAAGTCACCCTAAAAAAAACCCTTAAAATAATTAAAACTTAAAAGAAAGCCAACAAAATCACGGTCACTTTTCTTCTTCTTTGGAATAAAATAAAGACAAAAAGAAACAATGTTGAAATAGGACTTTTAGAAAGGATGGAGAAATAGCAGTCCAAATTTCCTTCGTTTTCTTTCAATATCGTCGTCATCACATCTTCTTTATTTTTTTTTCTTTTCGAAGCTAAACTAAAAATCTCAACGACCGCCTTTAATTATCAATACACGATACAGTTTTTTTTTTTTTCACTTCTCCAACAAACACACACAGTCACACACTAAAACAGCCTCCACATGATCGCACCCTTCCCTCTATTTTTGGGTGTTGTTTGGGTTTCTGTTTGATTCGGTACGTTTTCTGCTTTCTTAAAATGTTAGAGGAGTGTATATTTATTAAATTTATTAATTAGGATTTTCGGATTCAATTATTTGTACTTGCAAACGTGTGTGAAAAAAGAAATCTTTTTTGGGACTGGGTACCAGATAAATATTATACTATTTTTAAAATTAAAATTATAAATTTGGATTATGCTGGGGATTCTCTTCTAGGGCTCTGTGTCCTTGTTCAATTCGTGACTCCATTTCTAACTCTTGCCAGATCTTCGTTCCCTCGCCTGAATTGGAAAAATTTTCTTCTGCTCAAATCGTGTACGTAAGGCTGCCGTGTGTCCAGCTTATCCATTGATCAACTTCAGGTTAGCCGATTCTCTGTTCTTCGTATTCTTTTCAGCTGGTTTACTTTCGGTATTTTACGAATTCCGACTTGCTTGTTGAGCTTGGCGATTTGCTGATGGTTAATTTGGAGAGATGAACTGAACTGTGAGGAAGTTTGAGTTTTTGTTGAAGCTGTGTTTTGCTGGTTGATTCTCTTGGGCGAATTTCTTCGGTAGTATATTCTCCGTAGAATCTGAAAGGGGGATCAGAGTATATTCTTTGAATTTGTAAAGTATCGAGTTTAGCTTAAGATAGATTAATTTGTGGATTTCAGAATAATTGGAGATGAGATTTTAGCCTTCTCTGAATTTGTGGATGGTTGGTGGCTACACAATTCTGAATTTGTGTTTATGCAGTTTATAAAGACAGTTGATGGGTTTTTTAGTTTAGCTGCTGTCACTGTGTAGGTTAGTATCCTGGATTAGAAACTTATTGATGTTGTTTAAGGCTTGGTGGGGAAGTACTATAACCATTGAGAAACGAATAGATTCTGTGAGTAAGTTCTCTCTGTAGTGTAAATGTGATCATTTTTACAAAGGAATCGGGCTTCAACATTCTAACTATTGGTACCTGAAAGGTTGTGAGAATGTGTGGGCTCTTTGAGAGTGGTGGAAAATGTGGTAGTTTAATTCCTTATTGTTTAGAAAATATGTAATTGGTCATGGCGGAGCTTTTATTACATTTAGCATTTATAATTTTTTCCCATAAAAAGTAAATGAGAATCTAGTCTGAGAAATCCTACCAAAACATGTGTCAATGTACTAGAGATGTTGATGCATTTTGACAATGCGTGGATGTTGTCTGAAGCAGGTGAAAGCACCTTTTGTTGTCTGTATCTGAGATTCCCAAGAAAATTTAGCTTCTGCCGAGAAAATAGCAATTAGGTTTTATGGCTTTTTTATAGTTTGGTCTATCCTGGGTGTTTTTGTTGGGGGAATTTAGTTCGGTTGGTTTGCCTTCTTTGTGTCTTAGTCTTTATAGTAACTTATACTTATCCTGGTTTCGTTGAACTTATATATTGCTCCTGAATGTATATCATAATATCATATCAACCTGTCAAATTTTACTTTTTTATATATGCAGACTGTGTATTAGTCGGATTGTATCTGCAGAGGTATAGAGCATTTTGCATAATTGGTATAATCAGTATTTTAAAACCATATGCAGCCTAGTGGTTAAGTGCTGCTATACCTCAAGTTGAAATGATGGTTCAAATGACATTCCCTCCATGTTCCCCTCTTCTGTGTACTTTCTTCTCACCTTACCTCCCAGATACTTATATACTCCCCAGTTTCTCTGTTTCATATTGTTGAAGAGCTTTTCATCTTTCTGAAAAGTGAAAAGCATGTAATTCATGAAACCAATGATTTAAAGTTAAATCCTTTTTATATCATGATTTGGCCTATGATATGTTTTGATACTTAAAGGGCCTTAATATTTTAGGGAGATCTGTTAGGACGATTCAAGTCCCTTGTTTCTGTAGTTACATTTTATTCATCAGTGGCAGGACCACTTGTCATAGCAATTAAAAGTTTACATATATATACCCAAAAAAAAGGAACTTATTATATTGATTTCACATTTCGACTTCTCTGTCTATTACATATTTTAGAAGTTGACCTTCCGTAACCTTTCTCAGCAAAGTGGACATGTATAACCATTATGCATTGACACATTTATCCCGTCCTGAATAGATATTTCTGGTGTAGGTCCACAGGTGTTTGGTTTTTGAAGAGTCATTTCTCTCCATGTTTGTTTTTTTATGAGTAGCTTTTTGGTAGAGCAAAAGAGGAATTGATTATGTTAAGCACTTGTGAGAATTTGTGGATCTGATTCCACAACTGCATGATTTCTGCTCTTATCCTCAGCCAAATGGTCATGTTTTAATCTTGCTGCTCAATGATGTGGTCCATGGGATTTGCCAGGAAAAAGAATCATTTTTTTTGAAACACTTCTACTTGATTTTTGGGCGAGTCTTTTTAAAATGTGGTATCATGGGTACTTTGATAGGTTATAAATAAAATATTTGGTTATTCAAGCTATGTGAGCTGTAAATTGTTATGGCCCTGGGTTAGTTCCTATGCATTGTAGACATATTGCATCATATTTACTGTCCATGTTAGGAGTTTCGTATGTGATTATAATTCGGTCGATAACACTGGAATCATACTGTCAAAGGGCCTGACATGGCAAATAGGAAAGAACAAAATCTGTAATCAAACAAGTGCAAAATGGTGACATGATTATGTTTTTCACTAGATCTCGTCATTTGCCTTAGTATTTCACAACTTAACTTTACTAAGCTTATCATTATCCTTAAAGATTTCATTTCCATGTGAAGTTGAGGAGATCTGATTTTCCTTTGCTCCTTCGGGATTTTGTGCTGTCACAGGTTATATTTACCTACATGGTCTGTTGCTTGTTTGATTCCCAAAGTTAAGAACAATGTTAATATACACGTTCTTCATTTGATGGAGCATGGCTAGCATGATTGGCCTTGGAAAGGTAGGCCATCAGTAGGATCCACTTTTTATTTTTTTATTATCTGAGGTTTTGAATTAGACATCACTTAATGGGTGGTTGCAGGGATGCACGAACTAATGTGTTGCTCTAGTGCTAATGGTAATCAACTCACAAGTCTCAACTCTCTTTGACATCCAGATATTCACATCAAGCTGCAAAAATTTCTAGTTGGGAACATTTGTTTCCGGACATGCCGTCCCTTCAGCTTTTGCAGTTAACCGAGCATGGCAAAGGTCTATTGGCGTCAAGAAGGTGCTCATTGTTCTTTCCCTCATTTCTCTATGTATGCAAAAGAGATGACAATGATAGCTTGCCGAGACTGTCTGTATTGTTTTGTTAAACTTAAATGTATTTGTATCTGCTTCTTGTGGTTACACTTGACATCGGGAGTTTTCAGGATGATATCATAAATTTGTAACTTTCATACCTAAGTTAGGTGAATAGTAAAATAGCTGTAGTGAAACCTCTTTAAGAATTACTGGAGTTGAGTTGGTCGGGAGTTTGTTATTTAGTCTCTTCAAAAGTGGTTGGGTACTATTACTTTTTTTCCCTTTTCCTCTGTCACACATGAAACATGTACGGGTGCACAGTATTAGTGTTATGGACGTTTTTTTTCTCAAGCTTTATACACTAACTAATACTGTATATCATAAGTGCCAAGATCTGTGGGCCATATGGAAAAGTTAATGGTATCAGCGGCGGAGGCTGGGCCCTTTTAACAATTATGAGTTGTATTTCCAGAAGTCGATTTTCTGGAATTTATACATACCTGGCCTTTTAACTGTCAATTTATTCAGCATTAGTCATTAGAGAACTTTTGATGCTTTGACTCTTCAGATTTTATTATATTGAACTTATATCCATCACTCTAGTCTCTTGGAGGCTGGAGCAATTTTTGAGAGAATTTTCATTTGAACAAAATGTCTTCAGATCTTTTAATTATGTCCTACTTTGCTTAACCTTTGCATTTTTATAGCTACTTTTCTCTGGAAAGTTCTGTGAATCATACGTTTGCCTTGGGCAGAATCCTCTGGTATGTGATAATTGGAAGAGAAATGATAAATTTCAACTCTTTTTGTTACTTTTTTCTTTTTGTTTTTTTAACAAATTCACGTGACCTATATCGTAATGTTTATCTTCATCGTCTTTCTTCTATGGTGTTTTGATCATGTTCTTATTATTTTTCCGGACTTCTTGATTGCTGTTGGTAAAGCTTGACGCCTATTGTTGTTATGGTTACCAACTTTTTTAGGCTACTACATCGCCCGAAGACCTTTTTTGCTCTGTGATACTGCTGTTGACTCGTTGTGCATGTTTCATTCAGGAAATCTTTGCTGATTGCCGCTGGTGTTGTAGTTGCCAGTGGGACAGCTGCTGCATATATACAATCACGAAGCAATTCTAGGAAGCATGGTCCATTGGGTGACCATAATGGGCCCACTGATGAGAACAGGTTATCTGTTAAAAAGGTTGAAAATTCTAATATTGTGAAAAAGAGTAGACAAAAGAAGGGGGGCCTGAGGTCGCTCCATGTGCTCACTGCAATCCTCTTATCTCGGATGGGAACAGCTGGTGCAAGGGACCTTCTTGCACTGGTGACCACAGTGGTGAGCTTTTTGTTCTCATTACATATCGAAGTTGGACCTGAAGTTTCCTATTCTAGCTAATTGGGTGTGAATTGTACTTCCTCCCTTTTTGATAAAATGATGACACTCTCTTCTAAAAAATCCTGGCCTGCTATTCTACAACTCGGAACTCAGGGAGATTTGTTTTAACTTGGTTCCATGAATGATTAGACTTTTTGGCTATCTTGGTTCTTATGAATGATTAGAGTTTTTGGCAATCAGTATCTGTTCCTTTTTCTTTTGATTAATCTTTTGAATTGATGGCATTTTCTTCTGAACATATATGGAGAATAAAGGGTTATTTGGTTCCATGCACTATTTCACTGTTTGGATAGGAGGCAGTTTTATGGGTGTGCTGGTCGTGTTTTTCTCTTCAGCTTGATCTTGATGACTTTTTCATTTAAACACACAGGCATTCTTTTTTCTACAAAGGAGTAGTCATGATCTTTTGTTCTTGTTTGGTTGATTTTGAGTTTAGCATTTAGAACTTTGCATAGATTCTAATATTTACAGTTTGTTGTTATATTTTCTCTGATTAATATTAATAGGAAATGTACAGCGTTTTGAAACTTGTTCTTTGATTCTTCTGTAGTTATTGTTAACTTTTAGTTTAGAAATGTGTCATTTTGTTAATGATCCTGCCTATTATATTTGATGTTGTTTCAGGTGTTACGAACTGCTGTCAGCAATAGATTAGCTAGAGTTCAAGGATTCCTGTTTCGTGCAGCTTTCCTCCGACGTGTGCCTACATTTTTCCGTCTTATCTTTGAGAATGTCTTACTTTGTTTTCTTCAGTCAACTTTGCATTCTACTGCCAAATACATTACGGGGACCTTGAGTTTGAGATTCAGAAAGATATTGACAAAGCTCATACACAGTCAATATTTTCAGGTAAGCATAGAAGTCAGTCCTTTACAAGTGGTAAATGTATCTTAAAAACTAGTCCTCTCTAATTTCTCTGATAAAGAAAGAATGTATATTTTTTCATTTTGTGGTAGTACTAGTATCTGTGTAGATGCTTCTGGGCCTGTTTATGAATGACAATGGATTAATATCCATTTTCTAATATCTGTATGGATGATTGATTGACTTTTAGAATACAATATTGGATTTGGAAGTGGTGTTTCTGTTTCTTAAGTGATTGCAAATGATCTCAGGAATGCATCCCTCGAATAAGGTTATTTAAGTATCGGACACATGATAACTTTATTTGTGACATCTAAATTCCTGCCTGAGTGAATAAGTCGGAGCTGGATATTTTCTTATTGCAGCCGCTGTATTCGTTGATGCTCTTTCACCTCACTGTTTCTCACCATTAAGAACAACATATCGGTATTGGCCTGCTGTTTCTGAGAGAGAACAGTTGAGGGGCTACATGTCTTGGATCTTCTTCTGTTCTGTTTAATGGGTTTCCTAAAGTTTTATCATCTACGTATTGCTGTTTCAGTGCTATATTGGATTGTATGAGTTTACAGTAGTCCCTCAACAAAGTGGTCAAAGCTCTGTTTTCATCCTGTTTCTTATAATGATTTTCTTGTATGTTTCTCTAGTTGACATGTAGGCATGAAGTCTGTATTTGTTTGTCACTTTGAGGTGCAATTAGTGCATTGCTCTAGAGAATACACAAGCACAGGGAATACGATATGAAAATGACTGCTAAGATCAAGTAGAGGGAAGTTGGTGTCTAAATTTATCTCTTTGGGTTTTAAACCTTCACATTGCGTCTTAAAATTTGGGGGTTTGCTCTTTAGTTCAAGAGTTGTTGACCCCACATACGGGGATAAAGCCTTCTTGTTGTTATAGTCTCTTTAGTACAAGAGTTCATAGTGGAATAGGTTTTTCTGAAACATTGCATAAGTTGTCCACTTGAGGTTGAGATAATGGGGCCGTGCAGATATTTAAAAAATTAGGGCCTTCTCCGAATCCAACATTTTTCCTGGTGATCTTAATCCCTACTGTGTATTTGATTCTTGCATGTCTCCTCTCTGGAAAACATGAATGCTGCAACGCACCCATTGACAAACCGTGTGTGAGATAAAGTCGTCAACAATTTTGCTAATAGAGCCTGGAAGTTTCTCAAATGTCATTGCCCCATTTTCCCATCATGTGATAAAACTTGTGGAGATGAAAATATATTCTCGGGAAAATATATGATGTGACTGGAATGCCTTAATGTTTCTACTCTTAAACCTTCATGTAAGAATGCTTTTCGAAATTTAATACATACAATGAACATCAAGACTGTTTAACTGTTTGTTCCATTGACTGTTGGGGCTATTTTCTGTTAAACCCTGTTTGTATCGTGTAGTTACTACACATTTTAATCAGTTATACCCCGTAGTTGTGTTTACCTTTTCTCTTTCATTGGGTCTTTTCATGATTCATTCTCCTTTGGATTTATTCAATGCAGTGTATTTGTCTCATGTTCTATGCGTTGGTTGTTCTGTTACTTTGTAGTCATTTGATTTTTTGTTGCTTTGGGTTTCAGGACATGGTATACTACAAGATATCTCATGTTGATGGTCGAATAAGTAATCCTGAACAGCGAATAGCAAGTGATGTGCCAAAGTTCTGTTCAGAATTAAGTGATCTTGTACAGGAAGATCTCATTGCAGTCACTGATGGTTTACTTTATGCATGGCGTTTATGTTCATATGCTAGCCCAAAATATATCTTCTGGATACTGGTAAACTCTCTGTTTTATTGCCATTGTATTCGTTTATCCTATGTTTTCAGCTAGATAAAGCGCTGTCATTTTTGTATCTACCTTTTGAAGTTGTCATTTTCTGCTGTTTTCTAGGCTTATGTGTTGGGGGCAGGAACCATGATTAGAAATTTTTCCCCCGCATTTGGGAAGTTAATGTCCAAAGAACAGCATCTGGAAGGAGAGTATAGACAGTTGCACTCAAGGTTGAGGACTCATGCAGAAAGCATCGCATTCTATGGAGGTGGTAGTAGAGAAGATTCTCATATTCAACAGAAGTTTAAGGATCTTGTTCGCCACATGAGGGTGGTGCTTCATGACCATTGGTGGTTTGGCATGATTCAAGACTTTCTCTTGAAGTATCTTGGTGCTACAGTTGCTGTTATTTTGATCATTGAGCCATTCTTTTCGGGGAAGCTAAGACCTGACACTTCAACTCTGGGACGAGCAGAAATGTTGAGTAATTTAAGATATCACACAAGTGTTATAATATCTCTATTCCAATCAATGGGAACTCTTTCTATCAGTTCAAGGCGTTTGAACCGCTTGAGGTACGCATTAATATGTGGTTCAGATTTAATGAATCTCAGTGGCACTTGTACTGACTTGATGATGGTTGGTTTTATCATAAATTTTTGGGTTGTGTTTCTGTACACGATGAGGATACAATTGCCTCTATATATGATTCTAGCCTACACGCATCTAGAGAAAAATGTTTAGCCTACAAACATCTAGAGAAGAATTATGCTTACCTGTAAAAAGCTTGAAATAGGAGCTGAAAAGAAATGGCACGCCGTTTCCCTAAGCCCAGTCTTTTGGAGTTTAATGATTCTGGACTCTGTTGTATGTTGAATATATATGACAATTTGGTGGTTGTAATAACAGAATGTTCAAAGAGAAATCTTGTTAGTGCAATCTCATCTTATGAGTGAAAGGAGGCAAAAAGGAAAATGTGGTAGGTTTTGTGCTGCTTGACTTGCCAGGAGGATCAGAATGTGAATGGGTCTTACAATATGTTGGAATCGCTGTCTTCCTCTCTTGAATAAAATTTAGCTTAATCCAACTTTTCATGTCAAAGCACATTTAGGTGTAATACAAAAGTAAGAACTGCAGCATCTGTGGCTTCATACTGTCCATCTTAAGTACTCCTTGGGTTTGGGTGATCTCAAGTTCTTAGATACAAGTGGGATCTAAAACGTAATAGAAAAGAACTGGGAAAAGAATAGCTCCTATTCCGTTGTTATTACTTTTAGTAACCCAGAAAGTCTTACTTGCATGCTGGACAGCCTATAAGGTTTTTTGGTGCTCCAAATTATTTTGTAAGATCAGATATATTGCTCTTTACATGCTGCTTGTTGTACGTTATTCTGCTTTTCGCTTTGAATTTTCATCTGAGAAGAGAACAATATGATGAATTACGTGACACGTGTAATTTTGCAGTGGTTATGCAGATCGTATCCATGAACTCATGGCAATAACTAGAGAGCTTGGTGGACGTGATGTATCCTCTGTTCAGACAAATGGAACCAAGAACTACGTTAGTGAAGCAAATTACATTGAGTTTGACAATGTCAAGGTACCTTGGGCGATCATAATTGGATTTGTTTCTCCTGTCATTTTTCTCTCTTAATCAATAACATTTGGGTTAGCTTCTCCCATAATTCTTCTCTTTTAATCTTGTTGATCATCATTCTGTAGGTTGTCACTCCTACGGGTAACGTATTGGTGGAGGACTTGACTTTAAGGGTTGAAACAGGATCTAATCTCTTGATAACAGGTCAGCTCCATCTTTCTTATTTTGTGTTGTTTTTTTTTTTCTACTCTTTAACCTGTCGATGTGATTGTTGTAGCTTAAAATGCTTCACTGGCAAGCTGACAATGTTTTACATTGAGGACCTGGCTTAATTATTATTCTTTCAGTGTTTATTTGTCTTACTGGGGGGCTGTGGAATGTCGGTTTTATTATATTGAGATTTTCATGGAGATGAGGTTCCTTCTCTCTTTTATGGTTTCGTGTGATAGTTTTAGTCTTCACCGTTTCCTTTTTGTTTCTATTCATTAAAATTGAACTTGAGATCAGGCTTTATACTTCTGGTACTTTGCTCTGTGTGTTGTCTGCATGTATCAGATTTAATTCTCAGTCTAACATCTAGTCAAGTATGATGGTGGCACGTTCTTTCAAGTCCTTTCACTGCTCATTCCTCAAGGATTGTCATTTCCTACGAATAGATGACCAAAGTGCTTTTGATATCTGTAGACATTGCAATGCTAGTTGTGGTCTGCGATATTCCTCTTAATCAAATATAATGAAAAAACAAATATCTTGAAACCCAGAATCTGTTCTCTGATTTTCCCGCTGGAATTTGCTTGATCTTGTATATGTATCTACATTTCTTGTATGTGGCCTACTGTGATAAGTTTTCCTTGTGCAGATTTTGAGCTAATGACAGTACTTTTATATGTTACTTTTCATTTCTATTGTCTGTAACATTCATTTTTGAACTGTAATGCTTCTGTTTACATTCTGCTCTCAGTATTATGACAAGGATGTCTTATTTTTGTCAAGGTCCAAATGGTAGTGGCAAGAGTTCACTTTTCCGAGTGTTAGGTGGTCTTTGGCCGCTGGTTTCTGGACATATTGTAAAGCCTGGAATTGGTTCCGATCTTAACAAAGAAATCTTCTATGTGCCACAACGGCCATACACAGCTGTTGGAACATTACGGGATCAGTTAATCTATCCACTTACTGTAGATCAAGAGGTCAAGCCTCTGACAAAAGATGGAATGGTTGAACTTCTTAAAAATGTAAGCGATTCTGTTAACCTTGCAAGCTTGCATATCTTTTGATAGTTTAAGCGTCAACAATCTCTAAGGACTCTGATTATAAATAATCCCTCTTTGACTATTGTAATTTTGCGTTTTTTTAAGGTGGATCTTGAGTATCTGTTAGATCGTTACCCACCTGAGAAGGAGGTTAACTGGGGGGATGAACTATCCCTAGGTGAGCAGCAAAGATTGGGAATGGCCAGACTCTTCTATCACAAGCCCAAATTTGCTATTCTTGATGAATGTACCAGTGCAGTGACAACTGATATGGAAGAACGTTTTTGTGCTAAAGTTCGAGCTATGGGGACTTCATGTATAACAATATCTCATCGGCCTGCACTGGTTGCATTCCATGATCTTGTCTTGTCCTTGGATGGTGAAGGAGGTTGGAGTGTCCACAAAAGGTAGTCAACTTATATTTATGTATGCGTTTGTACCTGAAGTGTCTAAATTTTTTGCTGTTATAATGCTGGTATTGCTTTTCCAGAGAGGATTCTACTGCGATTGAAGGATCTGAGTTCAACAAGACACACCACACTGAAACAGACCGTCAAAGTGATGCGTTGACTGTTCGTCGTGCTTTTGCTAACATAAAAAAGGTCTCGAGCTTTAATGAACTGACAGCATTCTTTTGATATTATGTCTGATATTCTGAATTCATCTTACTTAAATAATTCCTTACAGAATTCTGCTTATTCAAATGCAAAGGCTCAATTATACTCCTCAGAGTTGCTAGCAGCATCTCCTCTTGAAGTTGATTCCCCTCCTCCCTCATTTCCACAACTGCAAGCTATTCCGAGGGCATTGCCTTTGCGGGTTGCTGCAATGTCTAAAGTTCTGGTGAGTCATCTTCTATGAATTGTTCTTTTAACTGTACAACTGTCCAGTAGCTTATTTAGATTTTTTCCAAAATTGTTGTAAATGCAATCTCTTTATGGTATATGGGGTTTGGATTGCAGCATTTTTTTTGAGAAATGCTTTGCATTAATATCAAAAAGCTTTATTCTCACAGTTGGTCTTTTATCAGTCACTGTGTGGGCATGACCTCAATTCCATGACTTGAAACTGAACAAAAGCAATTAGTTATGGAATACTGTGACTTTGCAGATTCGATGTTAGAAGCTATCTGTAAAGGCAAGAAATTAAGTGCGCTCTACAGCATCATGAAACTAACCTTTAATCGTAATCCCAAGATGCAATTGGATAAGTTAAGAGTTCTCTAGATATTTATGCGGAGTGAACAGTTATGTCTGTCATATGAATGGAAGTTGATACTCAATTTACCACTTGTAGTTGCTCAGATAATCAACATGGTCAAGTACCTGAATAAATCGAATACGTGAGAAAAACTTTGCTCTGATTACAACTGAAACCTCTGCCTCATAAATTTTACAAGACATTGTGACTCATAATAAAGTATGTGGGAACACAGTCTCGAATAATTTAAGTAATGTGGTCACATTCAACCGCTGAAAACCGATGTTGGATGGGTTCATATGACCTCTTCGACCTCTATAGTCATCCCTTCACATTTTATTGAGCTCTCTGCTGAGAAGCAGATATTTACATGGTCCCTGAAATTAATCAGGAGTCTGTCCGATACACTCCCCTGTTTGAATCGTCTTTGAGGGAGTGTAATACGTACAGAGCTAATTAGTGACCTCATTTTCTTATTTGGCTTTAGGTTCCATCGTTGGTCGACAAGCAGGGATTACAGTTGCTTGCAGTTGCTGTGCTTGTTGTGTCCAGAACTTGGATTTCAGATCGCATTGCTTCTTTGAATGGTAATTCTTCAGCTGGATTTCACCAACCTTTTTTGTTTCTCGAGTTTCTTATTTTTGCTGTTTGTTCATGTTATTTTTCTGAAACTGATCTTTGCTAACTTCCTCTAAATTGTTTATGCAGGGACCACTGTGAAATATGTCTTGGAGCAAGATAAAGCATCTTTTGTACGGTTGATTGGTGTGAGCATCCTTCAAAGTGCTGCATCTTCTTTTGTTGCACCTTCTTTAAGGTATTTCCTATCTTATGCAGGTGTCTGGAACTTGGATCACATATACTTAATCTATATGTGAAACCAGGGATTTGAGCTAGGTGATTGTGACTAGGCTTGTGTTGATGGGAGATGAAGTAATGCTTTTGCGTTTTAGATTTATACTAGTTCACTCTTGACAACTTGGATGATGGGGCTGTTATTTTATGCTTATCAATTTCTTCCATACATACTTTCTAAGATAAATGAATGCTTCTCATAATTTTATGTATAGTGAAAATGATTGTCATGATAGCTTTAGTAACCTGTTACGAGGAAATTCCTCTCTCTGTTTGAATGATGTTTATTTTGGCCAGTTCCACTTGCTAAATAGAATCACCCAGATGAGTCCTAGGTAATATTTCACCATCTTTTATGCGTAGCCATCTTAAGCTCTCAGATTGGTTTGTCTCACAAGTACTAAGGTGTTATCTGCTAGCATAATCTTAACGGGATATCATTTTTGTGAACACCATATTTTAGGAATTGTATTGTTTGTATGACATCATGTAACTATCTTTGAAGAAGATATTATTGCTGAAGTTTTTCATAAGACATAGGATTGAAACTTTTAAGTTATCTGAATATGTTTTTGTATTTCATTTGTTGTTCCTTCCATTCATTTGACTATCAATTTTGTTAGCAAGAGAATGCATATTTTCTGTAAATAGATAGAACATTGTACATTCCATTGGAGAGATGAGATAACACCCAATAGTTTGGTTTAGTTTAAATATTCTTTACACCCAATCATTTTCTTTGCAGGCACTTGACTGGAATGCTTGCCCTGGGGTGGAGAATACGCCTGACCAAGCATCTGCTAAAGAATTATTTGAGGAAGAATGCATATTACAAGGTTCTGTCTTTGCTATTTTCGGCTATTTGCAAAAAACTACTGATTTGCCTGAATTAGGATATATTGATGTATGCTTATGCCTTGCACGTAGTTGAATATTTTATCTGATTACTTGGAGTAACATTTTGACTCCATAATCATGGTGTCAAATCATGATCTATTCTGAATAGGAGACTTTTGATTGGTTATTTTTCTGCAACCTCCAAAGTTCCTGTAGATTGTTTTGGAACGTGAATTGGATTTTAAAATCCTTTTGTCGGATAGTTACTGTTCGCATTTGTTGATACTCATGTGTCTATATTCAAAATTTGATGAAGTAGAACCTTTATGCGTCTGAACTTGTGTACAATTATATTTTCAGGTATTTCACATGTCCTCAAAGAATATTGATGCAGACCAAAGATTGACACAGGACCTGGAAAAATTAACTGGCGACCTATCTGGCTTAGTAACTGGTATGGTGAAACCAACCGTCGACATTTTATGGTGCGTATAATTGCATTTGCTTTGTGCTCTGGCCTGATTATTTTTCTCTAGAGTTTAATTAGCCAAGAGATAATTTCAGGTTCACTTGGAGAATGAAGCTACTAACTGGTAGAAGGGGAGTCGCAATTCTTTATGCTTACATGCTATTGGGGTTGGGTTTTCTAAGGAGTGTTACACCTGAGTTTGGTGACCTAACTAGTCGTGAGCAACAACTGGAGGGAACCTTCAGGTCACTAGAATGAGTTTGCGGCTCCTTTGTTATGATTTGTCTCCCTATGTGTGACTTCAGTATGAGCCTTATATCTTTGTAAATTGTTAATTAGGTTTATGCATGAGAGACTTCGCACACATGCCGAATCTGTTGCTTTCTTTGGTGGCGGTGCTCGAGAGAAGGAGGTAACCTTATGATGTCGATATACTTCTTTTCTTATAAAATGGAGAATCTATTAGTGTTGTCCTTCTGAGATCTAGAGGGAATTCCTATCTTCATTAGTAAGATGTTTTGTTGTTATAGCTTCATCTCCTTCATAAAATGTTTTGTGCCAGGAAATTGCTTCATTTGATATTAGCTATTTGAGTTATAAGAAAAATAGGTCGAATTCAATAAAATATTTCCTTAAGAACCATTTAAGTTATTGACTCAAATACTTCTCACTTTAGTTACATTGGGATATTGTGTGTACTTCAGCTAAGAATTGCAGTATATTGTGTGTGCAAAAGAAATTAATGCCTGCATCTTGTGGTTGCTGCCAATGTTGATACAATATGATTTCCCACTCTTGATACTTGAAATGTTGTTGCTCAGATGGTTGAGTTAAGATTCAGGGAACTTCTTTGTCATTCTGCATTGCTGCTTAGAAAGAAATGGCTCTTTGGCATTTTGGATGACTTTATCACGAAGCAACTTCCTCATAATGTGACTTGGGGTTTGAGCTTGCTGTATGCAATTGAGCACAAGGGTGACAGGGCATTGACTTCAACCCAAGGTGCTGTTGTCATGTCAAGTGTGTTGACTTTTAAGCTGGATTTGTTTGGATTGAAGTAATAATATTGTCTCATCTTGTAGGCGAGTTGGCTCATGCATTGAGGTTCTTAGCATCTGTAGTATCTCAGAGCTTTCTGGCTTTTGGTGACATTCTTGAGCTACATAGGAAGTTTCTTGAGCTTTCGGGGGGCATCAATCGTATTTTTGAACTGGAAGAGTTTCTAGATGCCTCTCAAAATGGTGAATCTTTGGACTTCTCTTGTTTTTTTGTGGGCCAATTGTTTTGGATGTAATCTTATTCTCATGATTATCGGGAATATTTATCCAACTTCCCAAGCATGCTTACCACGTCTTTGTATACGGCCAACTGAATCTTATTAAAATGGTTAATACTTTCAAAACTACAAACTATAGTGGATAAAGCGCCGTTTGGAAGCTGTTAAGATTTTGTCAGGCTACTCCCTTTTCATTTGTACATTTGAGTTAAAATCAATTGTGCTATGTATGCTGAAGTTTGGCAAATGCTGCAATGGTTAATAGTACATAGTAGAAGACTTTCTTCTTGTCATATTTGGTGTGTCAACAGTACATAGTTGGGTTGATGTGTGGCGGGTCAATTGTCTTATTTGGTCCTCATGAATGGTTGGGGATAGATATTCTTCAAACATCTCAAATATGTTTGCCATGGTGTCCTTGCATATGACCAACTGAATCTTTGTTATTTCCAGTGCAGCTTGATAGATTATATAGTAAATTGCTAAGTTTGGAAGTTTAAATTTTTCCCATAAACAAAGGGACTTGAAAGTTGTTCAGATTTTGTCAAATAGCTTTTTAATTATTTATATCTCGAGTATGTTAAAGTTTTGGTAATGCTGTAATGATCATTGTCTGAAATTCGTACCAGCAGTTTACTAAAGACCTCTAGTTATTTAGCATCTGTAAGTTGACTGACATTTTTTATCATATGGGTTTTGATTGATTTATGGTCTTGTATATTCTTGCCGTTCCTTAATGTGTTTTGGTTGATTTTTGGTCTATTATATTCGTACTGTTTCTAAATGATTTCCTTTTAACGAAAGTTTGTGCTGACAAAACTGGCTCCATGCAGAGGATCATTTGCTTGCCAAAGGGAGCGACTCGTCATCAGATGATATCATTTCTTTCTCAGAGGTGGATATAGTTACACCAGCACAGAAGATGATGGCTCGGAAGTTGAAATGCGATATTGTGTCCGGGAAAAGCCTTCTTGTAACTGGTGGGACATTATCCTTTTTTTAACTGCATTTGCTTGTGTTCCTACCAAGGGCTGCACTTATTTACCCAACATTTATATTTGAAGGTCCAAATGGAAGTGGAAAAAGTTCTATTTTCCGAGTTCTTCGAGGGCTTTGGCCAGTGGTTAGTGGAAGACTGGTAAAACCTTCTCAGCACACTTACTCGGGAATTGGTGGCACTGTCTTCTATGTTCCTCAGCGCCCATACACTTGCTTGGGCACCCTGAGAGACCAAATTATATATCCCCTGTCACGTGAGGAGGCAGAAAGAATGGTTTCATTAAATATTGATCAAGGTAATTAAAATTGATTAATGAGATAATTAGAATGTGTAAAGTATCTTCTGTTTTTTAATCATGTTTTGTTGGGACGTACCTATTGTTACTTTCTTTTTTGAACCTGTGCTCATCCTAAATTAGCATCACATTTGTTGTTCTAGTGATCTAAACTAGGGGAGAGCAATTTTAATTTCTTCTTTCCGAAATGACATAAGGTGTCCTTGAGTAATTGTTATCAGCATATTGAATTTATGTACTTTATGTGGATGCTGATTACTTGTTGGGGTTTAATGGCTGCGTTATACGGTCATGAGATAGGGTCTCCGGTGTGTGTAACAGAACACTTCTTAAAATTTCTTCTGGCTAGGTTCATACAGGAAATAAAATAGAGTATAAATTGTTTGTGGCCATGATGATTCTCATCCATTGCTCTGCGAATAGAAGTTAGTGTGAGTGCTTAATATGTTTGGACTAAACTTTTTAGCCACTTGCAATATGCTTCTTTAAAGAATTTAATATGTTTGGACTAAACTTGTTAGCCACTTGCATTATGCTTCTTTAAAGAACTTTAATTTTTTGGAGCGTATCCTATTTCTTGTTCTCCCTCATACCAGAGGTTCATCCTCTCATAAGCATCTTTGATTACCTTTTGATTTGAAATTCCAGGTCAACAACCCGCTGGAACCTCTAACACCTTGGATGACCATCTAAAGTCTATTCTGGAGAACATTAAGCTAGTGTATCTTTTGGAAAGAGAAGGTGGACTGGATGCTAGCCAGAACTGGGAAGATATCTTATCTCTTGGTGAACAGCAGAGATTAGGCATGGTGAGTTAATATTATGCATATCTGCTCCTTTGGGCTTTGGCAACGCACTCTATTATGTCTATATGAGCTATAAAACTCCTTTCATTAATTAACAATTTTTTTTTCCCCATCATTGTTATTTCTGTTGAAAGGCGCGTCTGTTCTTCCACAAACCACGATTTGGAATACTTGACGAGTGCACTAAGTAAGCAACAAGATCTTGCTACATGTTTTGTCTGGAAAAAAACAGAATCCTGTTTACTTCTCATGTTTGTTGACTTTTCTTCTCTCTGCAAAATGTAGTGCCACGAGTGTGGATGTTGAAGAGCACCTTTATAGGCTTGCAAACGAGATGGGAATAACTGTGATTACATCATCACAGGTAAGTTATGGGGTTTCTATCCTTTAGTGAATATGAAATGAAGAGAATCTGTGAACCACTTCAACTAACTTTATGTGTTTTCAGAGGCCTGCCCTGATACCATTCCATGCATTGGAATTACGTTTAATTGATGGTGAGGGAAAATGGGAGCTCCGAACTATTGAGCAATGACCAAGTATTGTGCCAACCTCATTGTAGACAAAAATATGATTGGTGACAATCTCCCTACTCTGGGGCTGTCATCTCTCGTGGTAAGGGTTAAAACTTCTTTCCGCTGTTGTAAACCCTCCCATTACAGTGAGGATGGTGGAATGGCAATGGACAGCAAAGCTAGCAATTACAGAGAATGACCACTTCTATAAAATCGAGTGGAGCATAATTAAGGTTGTGAAGTTCACAACCAACATATATATTATTCTAAAGCGAATATCGAGGTTAGGAAAGTAGGGGGTAGAGGTACGCGCATGCATTTTAGTGTTCATTGTAACATATAAAACTTTCTGTATAGGCCGCTTGACACAGCTTATTATCATCATTCATTTATGATCTGTTGTAAAAAATTCGAGGACTTGACAAATCATCATGAGCTTCCCTTTATAAAGCCGTAGGGGAAGATAGGTGTTCCATATTAATTTGTCTCTTGAAAGGTCACTAGTTCACATTACGGTTATTACTGTAGCCTCGGATAGAAGGCAAAAATGCTCTTAGCTTCTAAATAAATGAATGGAGCATCATATCTTTTGCTTGATACTTTGCTGCATTTTGCACAGAAGATAGATGATAAATAAAACACGCCTAACTGGAACATCCAGACATTTTATGAGGGAGAAAAACAAAACAATAAGCATCCCAACTCCGAAGTTCAATTTCTCACAAAAATCAAGACCTCTCTGTACCTCCTGTGTTGATTTAGATGCAACTTTTGTCATATCCCAATAATTTGAGGTTTGTTTTATAACAAGATGAAACCCCAGGGGGGATAAATGTAAGTTATATTCTACATTATCATTGGCGGGCGGCTGCAATAAAGCGCCAAGTCTTTTCTCCAGTATGACTTTCCTTTTCTCTGAGCACAAATTTTCAGAGGATTGGAGATAACTTACAGAAATGAGCAATTCCCGATTTGCTTCGCTGAATGAATTCTCTTGCAACTTGGAGACGCTGCTCACCGGGTGGAACGAGTACGTTGCGAAGAAGAAATCAGATGGAAGGCTAAAGAAGCAGACTCGTCGATTGTTTGGCCGGGCCGATGACTCGGATTACGATTGGGTCTCAGCTAAGATCGATCCAATCGTCAACAAGCTCCATCCAGATTGGGCATTCTTTCATATGTATGTAGATTGTGTCACTCTGTGGCGGCATAATCACAGCGATGAAGCTGGGGCAGTTCGTCGTCGTGCCGAGGAGAAGGCGAAATATATACTTACCAATAGGGATTACTTCTTCCGAAAGCCTTACAGTTTGTTAGTTTATCTCACGTCATTGGAAAGAGAGATCAATGATCACCGTTTGCTGGCGAACATTCGAAAAGTGCTCGAGGAAAGTGTTCAGAGCAGAGCTTATGTTGTGGATTTTGTCCATATATTTCCTCCACTATACCGTTTCTTAGAGGTGACTCTTCCATTGATTAATGATCTTGTTGTTCTCCAAAGGGAGCTTTATTTTATCTACGATGAGCTGTTTCTGATTCGACGCTACTTTGATTCTGTTGGACCAAGTTTACCTTGTTATGTAGAAAAGCCTCATGAGAGATATGTTAAAAGTGCGGTTCTCAGGATTGCACTTCAGGTGTGTGATATTTGGTTTAACAGAACGGACAAAGAAACGACAGAAGTCATTGCGAGTCTCTTTGTAGATCTTCGTCAGGAGATTGATCCTACAAATCAAGAGTTTCTGGCATTGTTCCTCAAATTCCAACAAGGTCTCCGGGAAAGCGGATATTATTCGAAGGCAGCTGATGACCCTCCTTTAGTGAACCACTTCTGCAGCTATCTTCTATGTTGGCATGGTGTAGAAGATCTTAAACGAGAGCTGATATCCTTGGTTATTTGCTTCAACAACAGTACATTGTTTGTTGGTGGTGGTGAGGATGTTGACGCTTTTTCTGAAGAGATTAAGGCTGTGCTGATGGAGGCAGCCTTTGTCCATCGTAGGTTGCAACGAGAGTCAACCTTTTCGGATCCTGCTGATGACAAGCGAAATCTTACCGACTGCTTTCCACCTTGCTTTGAGTTACTTTCCAACATTTGTCTTCTTAAGACAGAGTTGTTTATCAAGGAGCAGCTCCACATTCCTCCTCCCGGGATGCTTTTCAGTGATGAGCAATTTTTCAAAGTCGACATGATTCTCACAGACCTCAGAGCGTTTGCAAAAGATATATGTGGGAAATCCAACAGGGAATTTGTCAAGCAGAGTTTGGTTCTTGCTGAAGAATTCGCAAATGAGATTGAATCTCTTCAGAAATCCTTCCAATCCAAGAGGATCGATCATCTTTTGGTAAAACACTCACTTCTTCAGTTGCTTTTTAAGATTGTCTTTTTCAAAGCTGAGTCGTTCCTAATGGAGTCCCTGAAGAGTACTAACATATCTATAGCACAAAACATGCATCAAATTCAATCTCTTCTTGAGGAGCTTAAATATTTCAAACGAATTGTTAGAGCTAAGCTAACCAGGAACTCGCCAGATGAGGAAACTGCTTTTGAAATAGTTGAAGTAGTATGTAGGAGAATAGCACTTTTCTCTTGCTCATTCCAGGCTGACAACAAGAAATTTGAGATAATGATTAGCTCACTGCCTCGGTTGCTGGATAAGGTAGAAGTTATCAAGAATAAACTAGGAGGAATAAGTCTTCCTAAGTTTGTCTTTCCCAAGACCGATCCTCAGGGATTCATTGATTTGTTAGTAAATAGAATAAGGGAGCTTCTGGAACATGATCCCGAGTTGATTGCACCATCACATGATATTAAGGAGATTTTACTTCATCTAGAGTCTTTGGAACATTTCTTTAGGGAAGTAAAAACTTCAAATTTTGAGATGGTTGAATTGGAGGATCTTGGTAATCACATCATCGACATAGCATATAAGCTGGAATTTGTTGTCGACTCAATTCAATTTGATAGCCATTTTCAGCATTCACTGTGGTTATATGATCTGCTGGTGGATGTGAGATTTGTGGATCAACAGGTCTCCAAACTCCGTGAGATATCTTCTTCAAGCAAAATTAAACATTCCCCCGCGATTTCATCACAGGTGATACCAAGAGATGCCACACCAGACATCAATGATCTGCCCATCGGTCTCGATGATGAAGAAAAAGCAATAGTCGAGCGCCTCACCAGAGGAACCCTTCAGCGAGATGTTATCTCCATTGTTGGCATGCCGGGTAGTGGCAAGACCACCCTGGCTGCAAAAGTGTACAACAATCAGAATATCATATTTCATTTCCATCGCCACGCATGGTGTACTGTTTCACAAACGTACTCCAAAAGGGAATTGTTGCTAGAGGTATTGAGTCACCTGCCTGTCACTGAAAACATTAGTAAGCTGAGTGATGATGATCTCATGTCCAAATTACGTCGTTGTTTGTTAGGAAGCAGGTATCTAATTGTTATGGATGACATTTGGGACACTCCAGTCTGGAATGACTTGCTAAATTGTTTTCCAAATGAGAGCAGGGGAAGTAGAATTTTGATAACAAGTCGTAGTCGGGAGGTGGCCTTGAAAATCAACCCTGTCAGCAATCCTCATTCCATTCGCCCGTTTTCCGATGATGAAAGTTGGAAGCTATTTGGAAGCAAGATGTTTAAAGGTGATTTTTGTCCTGAGGAATTGTTGGAAGTTGGAAAAGAAATAGCTCAATGTTGTCAAGGATTGCCACTTGCAGTTGTTGCGATAGCAGGTCTTCTCCAGAGAACAGAGCAGAACAAGGACTCATGGAAAAAGATCCTGGGAACCTTAAGCTCAGAGATAATCAACGATCCAGAAAATCGATGCAAGGAAATTTTAGAACTGAGCTACAAACACTTGCCAGAGTATTTAAAAGCCTGCTTCCTTTATTTGGGAGTGTTTCTTCAGGACAAGGACATTCATGTTGGCAAGTTGATACATTTTTGGATAGCAGAAGGATTTATTAGGGCAACTGAGGCAAAGAACTCGGAACAGGTTGCTGAGGAGTACTTGATGGAGCTGATTAACAGAAGCCTAGTAAACATCCATAGACTAAGATCCAATGGAAAAGTCAAAAGATGCCGGCTTCATGATGTCTTGCGTGATCTGTGTCACTTGAAAGCTAAGGAAGAGAACTTTATGCAGCTGGTGACCAGTCATGACAAACCTTATGTGTCTTTTCCAGATTCAGATTTTGGAATGGAGTTTGTTCATAGCAATGAGATGGCTCCCATAGCATTTGAGAGCTACAGATTAATCTTCAGTTTGAGAAGACGGCATTTTATTGATTCTAGACCTTCTGCCATGGGGGCTCGATGCTTGGCGTTCTTTGCTTCTATTGATTCGGAGCCGAAATGTCCTTATGACATCTCCTTCATTTGTCACAACTTCAGGCTTTTGAGGGTTTTGGACCTGGAACCTATCATGGCAATTATCTTTCCTCAGGAAATTGGACTGATGCTTCATTTGAGATATTTAGCTCTCAGTGGTTATATGCAATCAATTCCTCCATCAATAGCCAACCTGTGGAAACTTGAGACTCTTGTCGTGAACGGATTGAAAGGTAAAATCATCCTACCCGAAACCATCTGGAGCATGAGAAGTTTAAAGTATCTTCATGTTAATAACCATGTAGGCTTCAGCATGAATGGTCTTGATGAACAGGTTATACGTTCTTTGCACTGGACAAGTTTAATCAGCTTCTCCACCCCCTCGTTTTCTCGCGAGGAGGATACGGTGAACATTTTGAAAAGGATGCCTAATCTGCGAAACTTGAGATGCATGTTTTTCCAGTCATGGGATTCTTGTGAGGAAAACATTGACTTCCCAGTCCTAGAGTTTCTTACTCATTTGGAGTCACTCAAGGTTATTTACCATGGACCAGCACTTAGTTTCGGGGAATTTGTCCTTCCCGTAAATCTCAAGAAACTGTCTCTTTCAAATTTTCACCTTCAAGGGAGTCATCTTTCTATGATTGGAGAGCTACCATATCTCAGAGTCTTGAAGTTAGTTGGTGGAGCTTTTGTCGAGCAAACATGGACAATGAATGAAAAGGAGTTCAAGGAGCTTACCTATTTGGAATTAGACTCTCTGCATTTTGTTAATTGGGAAGCCTCTTATGATCACCTTCCCAGACTTGAACGATTGGTATTACGAAATTGCAGGGATTTGGAGTTAATCCCATCTGATTTTGCATATATATCTACTTTGAAGTCGATTGAAGTGCAGTGGTGTGGGCAGTCTGTTGTTGCGTCGGCTGAAGAAATTGGAGATATCACAGAAGAGATCAAAGTCATTATTGATCGCTTTTAAGGGCAAGTCATTGCTTGAATGATCCTGTGGATCATTTGCCAGATTATTGCACTTCTTGTAAGTTAATTTATCTAAATTCTGATATTCATATTACTTCTACAGACTTCTGAATCGTACTCATTAATGTTATATTCCCTCTATCCCAAAATTATTCTCTAGTTTAAAATTTCATTTTTAGTACAATTTGAACTAGAAATGAAACCCAAACTGGACAATAATTACAGGACGGAGGGAGTAAGGAACAAATCTGCAAAATCTTACTTCTCCTTATTGAGTACAATTACATGTTTCCTTCCTGGAGAATAAGAGCCCCTCGGCCCCTCCTACTCCCTAGTTCTCTGCACTGGATAATAATCAAGTTTCATTGAATCAATTAGTACTGGTTATTGCTTTGGTTGTTATAGAAAATAATTGTTAAGAAGGTGGTGTGAAATATCAACTAGATAAATATATAAATAAAAATGAGTGTCGAGTCAAATTTATAGAGTGAAATATCATTGCTCTAATTATATTAACACCAATAAATACAGTCGAAAAATCACAATTTCGTGTTAACTTTTATGAAGTATTCCATTTAGTTGAAGATGGAAGCAATATATAGATTTTGGAGCAAAGGCCCAAACTCCCTTCATAAATGATCTAATTATTGTTTACGCATTAATAGAATTGGTACCAAATAGGTACAACACTCAGCTTACTTCCCAGGGTCCAGATGCAACTTCAGCTAAACCCCATTTTTAGCTAAATGATCTCAATTTAAAAGCTACAACTCAACTAATTTAATTTGCGTTCTTTGATGATGATACACTAAATTCTAAACATAGGTTAATCTTTAAACTAGAGCACATAGGATTGCCAAAAAAGAATTCGTGACATATTCATGTCATTACACTTTTTCTATCAAGTACTCCATTCAATTCTTATTATAAGTTATTTCGATTTCTGTTAAATTTTATTTATCATGTTTTTCTAGTTAATAATAAAACCTTAAAAATACGTTACAAGAATTGGGAGAAGACATAAATGCCAATATGACTTGTGAAATACCTCACCCAACTAAGCTCCTTTGGACTCCACGACATTTTGAAGGGAAAAAATATATCCACAAAAGTCTAAATTTGCGCACTCTGATCATATGATTACTTAAGTAATACTTTCTGTGATTCGTTTGATATAACAGGAATTTGGTCTGATTAATACATAGAATTGGCTTTTGAAACTCAACTGGTTCTCAGGTAAATTTCTAAGGGCAAAAAAATTGTAGCAGATATGATATTACTACTCCTAACTTTTCATTATCTATAAGATTTCATTTTCACAAGTAAACAAATCTACTTACATAAAATTCTTGGACAGTACAGAAAAATTACCTTTCAAAACTGGTTAATTCTCTAATTATTATTACCTTTTCAATTGGAAATTTCAAAAAAACCTTTGTTTCTACGTGATACAGTTATACTAATCCAAGCAGCATAAGAGATGGGCTGGTTCTAACTAAATTAGATTCTAAAACAAATGACACACTAATAGCCGCAAATGGTTCTTCTCTGCACGTGAAAGAACAAAAATCACAAGATGTGACAGAATTATTGTTTCAAACATCAATTTATAGTTGTTCAAAAATCTTAACATTGTTTTTCTTTCATATTTGCAGGGTGTCCACCGTGGGTAATAGTGATTAATTCCTCTCGCTGAATTGTAAGCACCTCGATTGGTGAGAATCTTAACATTAATATAATACTCGGAACTCTTAACATATATTCCTTCCGGTCCTTAATATAAGGCATTTTGATTCATCTTATGTTTAACCTAATACATATTTTTAATTGACGAAAAAACCTTAAAAATATATCATAACAATCAAGAGAACATATCAAATGTAAAAATATATTTTTAAGGTTTTTTTGTCAATTAAAAATGTATACTAGGTAAAATTTAAGAAAATTCAAAATGCCTTGTAATAAGGACAGGAGGCAGTACATTTTTTTTATTTAAAAAATTAAAAGAAAAAAAAAACTAAAATGTTACTTTGACTTCCAAGAAATGGTGGAATTGCTTCTAGTTTTGCTCTTCGGTGGTTTGTGTTTTCTTTTTCCTCTGTCCTCCGACCTTTCATGGGGATTGATATCCTTTTGCTTAATTGGCTTTATAATCACACCAGATTTCTTTACCACCTGAAAAAAATAAAACTCAAAAAGATTAGATCACAATCAAACTATCACCAGACCAGAAAGGGCAGTTGATGTTTACCATAATACATATCGCACCAAGTCTTAATCTTAACAGGGAAAACAAGGCAACAGAATTAAAAAGTAGACTCACTTCTGGACGTATCAGCGCTCCAATCGCTGTAGTAGGATTAAATTCTAGGCCAATGGGCATCCAGATGCTCTGTTCAAAAACTTCTTTGGATGTGAATGGGAATGGTAATGTCCTTGCAAAAGTTTTACTGCCTGCCAACACCAAATAATTGCATAATTCAGTAAGTAAGCGAAGCAAAAAAGAGACAAGATTTGGACAGTTGCTCTGAACATATGAAGAGAAAGGGGAAACAAACCTTTTTATCCAACTTTTCAGATATAATAACATGCTTTAGATCTGTATCCTTCCTCTTTTTAACTTCTTTTTCTCTCTTCTTTTTTTTCAATTTTGTGTTCTTTCAATATCCAGGAAGGAATTCCTTTCTTTTCCTGAATGTGAGTCCACTGACCCCACCCTGGAAGTAGAGATGGTTTCTCTGGTTCAGGATTTTCTTCATTCAGAACCTCTTCGTTATCTTTTTCAAATTCCTCCTCAACATCACTGGCAAACGCCCGCTGAATAAGTTCTTCTTGGGATGGAAGTTCATACGTGGAACGGGGACCAGAAGACAAAATCCCATCCACTATCTGTCCCTCACTGCCTGAGTCACTATCCCCGTCGTCTCCCTACACAAATGCAGGAAATATAAACACATAATCAAGCGAAAACCTTCCTGAGTGGTGTTGCATATGCGACATATCATTATGATAACAAAGTGAAAGATGTACCTACATATCTTGGCTGCGTAGGTGGGACTGCTGATTTGAGCCTTCTGGCAACTTTTTCTTCTGTTGTCACAGCAAATGATCGAGAAAACGCACAATCAGAATGTCCGATAAGCCAAATAAAGCACATAACTTTATGAAGAAAGCTAACCTTTTGCCATGAATTGTGATGCAAAAATAGCAACTTCATGTGTGGTTTTGGGGCCTAGTTTCTTAACAATATCCTCAAAACTCTAAAAAGGGATAAGAGCAACCTAATCAGATCAGAAGGAAAATAATTCTGTAGAATTTGGGACAAACAGAGAATGGGACGTCACCTTAAAGAGTGCATCATGACCAATCTCATACTCATTGAGTAGCAAAGAGACTCGTTATAACTTTGATTCTGCTCATCTTCCACACCTTCTAGGCTATCTTCACTATCACTATGACCATAAAAATTATCAGACCTAATTTTGTCACTAGAATCTTGAACCTTTTTAATTTGCTTTTTAGTAGGACCAAAAGCTCTTTTCCCACTGACAACATCAGGATTTGTATTTTATTTCTCATTCTTATCTTCCAGTTGCTTCAACGAACGATTGTAATCATCTAGAGCAGCCCTTGCTTCCCTGCTAGCTTCTTTTTTTCTCTTTTTCAAACTACGAACCTGGTACATCAGAAGCAGTTTCATAAAGTAAGTCTAACAAAGACATGGTAACACATTCCAACACATTTTTTTTCAATCCAGTAAGTATGTGACAATTTAATATTCCTACATACGGGAAATACAAAATGAAAAATAAACTCCGAATCACAACGGAATCAGAGTACTACCATGAAAGGCAAAGATGCAACTCCTGAATTCGGCAACCCTTCATCCTCTTCCATTGCTTCAAGAGTTTTCTCCTTGGCTGTTTTTAACAATGCCGATGGATCATCTGGGCCCAAATCAATATCAGACTCGTCCTCGTCACTGCTATCCTTCAGAGAATTTATTTTCCTAGTCAAAATGGCATGCTGATAAAGTTGTTCAGATATAGCAGCTCGAGTCCCTTCATCCTGGACATCTAAACTGCGCTTCAGAATGCATTTAGCCCATTTCGAGTTGTTCTTGTGTACCAGACCCATGCGCTCCTGTGAAGTGAGAGCATGACAAACGGAAGGACTCAGGTTAAGACATTAACCCCAAACAATCATCAAACGGTGTTAATGAACGCACATTAGCAATATTACCTCTGCTCTCTTGAACTCTTGTTTCATTGAAAGCTCTTTAGCAGCATCAGGGTCCATCTCCATGGCTGCAGCGGTTGCTTTCAGTTTATCTCTGTTTAACATGCGATGTATTTTTTAGACTTTATCTTTCTTATCCGTTTTGATTTCATTTCATGGCGAAAGAGAAGACTGTGCATTGTTGGTGGTGGTGAGGATGTCGCCGCTTTCTCTGAAAAGATTAAGGCTGTGCTGATGGAGGCAGCCTTTGTTCATCGTAGGTTGCAACGGGAGTCGACCTTTTTAGATCCTGCAGATGACAAGCGAAATCTTATCCACTACTTTCCGCGTTGCTTCGAGTTACTTGCAAACATTTGTCTTCTTAAGACAGAGCTGGTTATCAAGGAGCAACTCCACATTTCTTCTCCTCGGATGCTTTTTAGTGAGCAATTCTTTAAACTCAACACGATTATCACAGACCTCAAAGCGTTTGCAAATGGTCTATACCGGGAATCCAGCATGGAATTTGTGAAGCAGAGTTTGGTGCTTGTCGAGGAATTGGCTAATGAGATTTCCTCCCTTCAGAATTCACTCCGTTGCAAGAGGATCAATCATCTCTTGGTAAGACACTCACTTCTTCAGCTGCTTTTTAAGATTGTCTTTTTCAAAGCAGAGTCATTCTGTTTGGCCAGTTTTTTGCTATTCAGGCCGACGAGAGATGTGAGTTTTTGCTCAGCAATTTTGGTGGATTTATATGATTATGGCTAAGGTTTTAAGGCTCTAAAATAGCCCAAAAGTGGCCAAAATACATTTGGGATCAATATGGGCTGATTGAGTGTGAACAGTTTCAGAATTGGAGACGGAAAGTATAAGTTAAGTGGGAATAGAATTGTTCCATAATCGGCTGCTTGATTAATTGGCAATTAAGGAAGATTCTTCCTTATTTCTTGCTCCTTTTTATAAGAAAAATTATTAATAATTAAAGGAGATATGTTTGGGAAAGAATTCTATTACCAAATTAAGAACTGATTGTGAGAAGAGTCATCAACCGATTGGGAGACTGCTGCAGGAATAATTGCCTATTTTTAAGGAAATTTACCATGTTAAGCTACCTTTTCTTCAAGGAATCATAGGACAGCAAGAGTTTCATCCAAGCACTATAAATAGAGGCAGCCATGAAAAGAAAATCATCACCAATCAACCATAAAACTGGTTTTCTTTCTTTCTTGTACCGTTTATCATGTTTTTACTTTTCTTATGGTAGTTCATCACGTTCTATCATGCTTGCTTAGCCCCTAGCTTAGCAATAGAATTGTTTGAATTTTTCTCCTACATAGAATTAGGTAGGTGTTCACCATTTCTCCTCCAATGAAATTCAGTTATTCTGTAATAGGTGTTCTAACACTTATGTGAGTCGCACTACCCTCTGAACTTCCATCTTGTGTTTGTCTTCTGTGTCATAGCGTGTCATCGACAAGGTCTAGTCGGCGCTAATATCTCTGTAATAGCGTGTCATCGGCACCATCTATAGCTTGCCGAAACTAGGATTTTCCACTTTATGAGTCAAACGCCGTCTTTTCGGTTTTTCCCCACTTTCCCTATTTTCTACATGTCTTTCTCAAACTAAAGTCAATGACCTTAAGTCCTCGATCCTAGTCCGAGGCTGGTTCGAACTAACCACAATCGTCTGATTTAAATGTGTTTTGAGTGATTTCTGTTTCTCTTTTTTCACGGTTTCGGGTGCACAATTTTCACGCAAAACATAATTTGGCACGCCCAGTGGGACAAGCTTTAGTTTGATTTATAAACCTTTGAAGTCTATCATCATACCATGAAGTTTTTTGTGTCATTAAAAAAAATCCAAAAAAGAGTCTTTTCCTTTTCCCTTGTCATGGCATATCTAAGCACCCAATATTATACCTTTAACAATTCTGGAGGTCCGGTCTATACCCTTTGTCCATGTAGTCAGTCGCCTGAAAATTCCAACCTTACATACATATCCCCCAATATCCAATATAACTCATCACCACTTGGTGGGCAAATATCTAAACAACCTCCATCCACACAATACTATACACAGTATAACCCATCACCACTGGGTGGGCAGATTTTCCAACAGCTTGCATCGGCACAACCTTGCTCTAGGGTTGTGTATGTCGCCGATCAATAACAGAAGCAGCAAATTGAGTGCCATGGCTACGGTTGGTGCCAAAATAGTGTTGATCACCAGAAAGATGCAAATCTAGTTAATGCACTCACTCTGAAAGCTTATGCCGATTATAACTCTCAAGCAACCGTTTAAAGAGGTGTATGCCATTTTATCCAATCAGATGATCAATGTGACATAGATCGGCAATTTGGCAACGCCGATGAAAGAGATCAAAGTCCGATAATGCAAGAACCTTCAAGTCTCAGGGGGCAAGCCATTTTTAGCAATCGTTTGCATCAATTCGGTTGTTATGATTGGCTCGATGGTGGTCAAAGCAATTCACAAGTTCTATTCGAAGATGGTGGACAACAATCTACAACTTTTGATCATCAGCCAATATAGTTTCAGCAGCCGACGGTGACCTTTCAATAGATGTCGTTACAGTCACAGCAGAGTCAGCTATCACCGATGTATATCCAGCAATCGCAAATACGGCCAGGGAGGTTTCAGCAAGCCGATCAGTGGATGACACAATCTATGGAGTTTCAATTGACACAGTACCATCAGTCGCCGATGGAGTGTTCACAGATTCAGCTATCATCGCCACCGGTGCAGTTAGGTTGCTTACAACCGATTCAGCATCAATATAATGGTTCAGCAACAGAAAAGATCCAACAAATGTAGTTACAACATCGGCAAACAACATCTAAATCGGCACATGTCCACTATTCATATTCGTTGCCGATGGAGTGTCAAGATATTCAGTTACCATCTGGACTAATCCGACGGGTTTGGTCACAACCGAAGCAACCCCAACAGACTGATCAATCGATTATGCCATTACAGTCCCAGCAGCTGACTCTGTCTTTTGAATCGGCTCAACATCAATCATCGGTAAAGATCCACCCTCAATCGGTTCATGAGATTTTACAGTCAGTCCAGTCTCAGACGCAGTTGCAACTTCAACAATGGATAGAGTCCACAGAGGTTCAGTTATCATTGGCGCCGACTCAGTCCTCACCAACATGGTCTTCGTATATAGCACAGTCACAGCCGTCATAAACAGAGTCTCGACCAACCGATCAGATAGCAACGTGAATGAATGAGATATCGATACAGCCATTGTTACAGGCACAACAGTCATTGGTGCGACTTCAGCAGATTCAACGATCCCAAGTGCAATCTAGGCAAACTGATCCATCTGTAGCACCGATCCAACAACCACTAGTACAATCTCAACAAGAGCAACAATCGGTGACACAAATCTAACCAATGCAACAATTATTATTGGTAGAGTCTGAATGGATGCGGCGATTACGGGCGCCACTCCAAGAGTTGCAAACGTCATCAAGAATGCCTCGGCAAGTTGAGGAATCAATGATAAAGTTGCAGCAGTCAACGTTAGAATGTCAGCAAGTGCAACAATCGGCAGTGGGAAACCAATCATCCTTAGTATGTTATCAACCGATTGTGCTACTGATGGATCAACATGCTCAAAGAAAGACAACACAGTTGCAGGGATTAGTAGAAAACCAATTGCCGATACAACCAACACAACTCGAGGAGTGGCAGTCATCAGCAGAACAAGATCAGGATGGTCAGCAGCAAGTGATACATTCCTGTCAATTTCAGCAAGATTCAGCAGTGTTCCATGAGCAGGTGATTCCATTTAACCAGAAGATGGTACCATCTAATGAGTTCCAAGGGCAAATGTTACAATTTCATAAATAGATGGTGTGAAGTAGCAAGTTTGATCAGCAACTGGTACCCAGTCGATCTTTTGAGAGTTTGTTTAAGTCAAATCAATGACAATTGCAAGAATCACTTTCGTTGATTTATGTGCTAATACCATCAATGAAGAATCAGTCACGAGTGTCACTGGAGCAGAATCGGTGTCCGATATTTTTGACGCATGATCGTTTGTTTCAGCATTTACATTCGCAACACCAACAATATGCATATTTTGGACAGGTCCACATGGTTGGTAATTCCACAGCTGGATAGTATGTTCAGGAAAAATGGTTGGCTAACAAGAAACAGATCTTTGTAGTACAAGTTATTGTGATGTTAGTCAGAGCGGTGATGGGTACCGAAGAATTCATGAAAAGGATCAGCAATCCAAAATGATGTTACTGACTAATAAAGGGCCGACTAATTTAGATAGTTTCTATTCTCAAGAAATTTCTTTGATGCCTGGGGGGCAAATTTCTGATGATAAATCTTGCTTATTAGATAGTCATGACTTGCAGTTTGAGCGAACCGACGGACGATCAGAAGTCTACAATGATACACATCAACTTGGTGTTGTTTGTTCCACAAGTCCTTACACACTCAGTCCAGAAAGTATGGGTACTTGTCAATATCATGTTGATTCATGTTTTCAATTTGGTTTTGTGATTGTTAGTAGAGGTGATAGAGGTCAGCTTGCGAGAAACCCATCATCCATGTTTAATATAAGTGGGTTGGCCGAGATTGATGATAACCGAAGTCAGTTTCATACATCAATGGTGAACATAGAAGAAATGTTTGATGGTTTGAATAAAGACATGGAGGCTGATGTTAATGGCTTTCAAGAGAGTCTTGATCTATAAAGCGAGTATGGCAAGTCTACAAGCAGTGAGGAGGTAGACGAGGAAATGGATTGCAGAGACCGATATTATGTTGAACCTCAATACCGTATTGATAGAAGTTTTATGGATAGCAGATTTATGGGTCATCAGCAACAATATCGTTCAACAATACTCAAGGTCGAGTTAGTTGAGGCAACTTAAACGGCGTGGTCATCCATTGAAGATGGTTTGAAGGATATGGTTAAAGATCAACCGGATAGGAGTCTTATTGATCATGATCACATTCGACATTCTTGCCCTTCCCATCAAATTTTGAGTTCCTTACCATTGGAGCACTAAGAACAGTGTTGCTTGAATTCAGCCGGGGTTGATTTCACTGCAGCGAGTAAGATGAAGGTGTCATCAATTGAAGATAGCTCAAGGAACGTGTTTCAAGATCAGAAGAACGAGTCTTCTGATGATAGCCGTGTTTGACATTCTCGTTTCATAGCTGACATAACTTCAGATTTTTCAAATATCAATCACAAAGAACAAGGCCGATTGATAATGCTTGATAGTGATGAGACTAAGGACACTTCGCCGACAGTTGATGGAATGTCAAAAGGGTCAATATGCAATGGTCGGCAGCATAGGGAATCTGCCTCATCAGCTTTTGTTTCTTCACAGTTTATTCAACAAGATAAAAATAGATTCATGACACTCAGTAGTGATCAAGCTGAAACAAACACGACTACATCATTGATGGTTGGTGAGGTATCCACATAATTGATTTGCAATGATGATGATCAAACTCGGTGACTTGATTCATCGGCCGATTCTGTTTCTCTTGAACAATTGGATCAAGACCGTTGAAAGACACAAGAGGAGGAACGGGCTAATATGGGCAAGATCAAGTTGTCGGAAGTGGAGAGTGCCTCAAAAAAGGTGGTTGGTTGCAATGAGGAGCAAAGTCAGCAGACTGATTCTAATGGCGATCGAGCTGAGCAAACGATTGCTTCTTCACAAATATAGTGCTTTGTTTTCATAATATAGTGCTTGTAAGATCCATACACAAATATTTTCCACAATATTAGTTCTTATCGCGTTGAAATTTTACACTTAGGGCCTGTTTGGTTGCTGGCAAAGTTGAGGAAAGTAAAGTAAACATTCCTGAGATTTTACTTTACTTTATGATTCCTAAGGATATAATTCTGGAGAATCTAAATACTTTCTTATATTTGTTTACATGTTTGGAAAATAGGTGAAAGTGAGATTTTTTTTTAAAATCTTTTTTGTCGCCTATAAACCTCCAACATGCCGGTTTTGAATTTTATTTCAAAATCTTGAAACTATCTGTTCAAAATCTAACTACATGAACAACATTAAATATATGTGTGTAGGTGTATAATTATAAAATTTAACAGAAGTCATATAATTTTTAGCTAGATGAATCAAGTTAAAACTTTATTAAATATGATCGGCTCAAATTTTGACGTTAGATATATTGCCCATAGCCATTTTAATATTACAAGTTATTTAATGAAATTTGATTTTCTTTGTTAAAAAATTATAAATGTATTTATCTAAAATTTATACATGAACGATTAATAATTCATTTTTTTCAAAAAAAAAATTATTTTGATAAATAGTCTAGTTTTATGTGGCCAATCAAGTATTTTAATAATTAATAATTAATAATGTAAAATGATCACTAATTGTTTGCTAACTATTAGAAATATCAATACAAGAAAATAAGACTTATCAGTATGATTCATATTGCAATGAATTAGACTAAGTTAATTTTTAAAGAATTTTTAAAGTCAATGTAAGCTCTTTTAAATTAAATTATTTAATTAATAAATAAATTATTTGTTAATTTTTTCAAATTGAAAATTTTGATATTTTAATATTATGGTAATCTTAAAATTAAAAATGAAAATAAAGTTTTTAAATCAAAATTAATTTATAGATAATTTTATATTGAACAATATAAATTAATTATAGTGACTAATTTATCTGATCAACTAAGTGTCAATTTGAAAATAGAACATGAATAAATTAAAAAATAAATTATTAGTATGATAAAAAATGGTATGAAGATTAGACATAAAAAAAAAATGTATAAAAGTTTAGAATAAAAAGGAAAGTAAAAAAGAATAATAGCTTTTAGGTGGGTAATCACAATCCTGGAATTTTACACTTATTTTCCTTGACTTTGGGAATCTTTTTACTTTCCTATAACTAAACAAACATTGGAATTTAATATTAGAAAAATGATTACTTTCCTGAACAAAACAAACATAAAAATTTAAAAACAAGAAAAAGGATTACATTCCCTCCTAGATCCCAAGACAACCAAACATAAAGATTTAATAACAAGAAAAAAGATTACATTCCCACCTAGATCCCAAGACAACCAAATAGCCCTTAATGCTTTTACTCGAGCTTTCTTAATCTTTTTGATACCTATTTTAGTTAAACTTTTTCGTAATTACTTGGCATGTAGTCCATTTGCTTAGTCAAATCATACATCTCTTAGTCAATTTTTTCCCCAGTGACCAGAATTCAGCTCAACAACTTGGTTCTTCTCTGGGTTTGCGTTTGGGTTTTTCTTTCTTGGGTTGATGATTAATCTTCGGACAAAATAGTGATTCAATAGGGGTGATAACATCATATATAGTCCAAAAAAACATTACCAAACTTCAAATGGACGGCCAAATTATGCAAAATTTAGTAAGATACAAATTTGAAAAACAACATATATAAAGCAGCCCATTTTTCTTGACAAGATAGAAAGCGAGATACCAAACTCATCATTTATTGTAATTCCTTGGATAGGATTCGAATTCATAATCTCTTACTTAGATTTTGAATGTCATAATCATTGGACAGATTGTTGTGTCTTACAACTTAATATTGTTCTTAGTTACTCAAACGTATGATTTCTGTGAGTATTATATTCAATCTTGATTAGGTTTAGCCGCCAAAAACAATCGCACATAGAGCACCTAATTTCATAAATATTAGAGGATGGTTTAGGATTATGAGTAACTACTAAAGTGACTATCCTCAACTCAAATTATTGTCTTAAGTCTTAACTAGATTGGCTGGTTGACTAACTTCTAGCTACATTTAATCTAGTTAGAACATGGATTTGATCTTCCGAAATATTCTGTAACATTTCATGTGAATTCGAAAGCGGCAATAATTTGATAATGGTAACAATAGGCGTAGTGGGTGGATGTACCAAGATTTTATTCGGAATTTTAAATTCGTATGCTTAATTTTTATTCCCTCGGATCCTAACTATTAAACGGAAGAAGTAGACTAACAAATGTTGAAACCATGAAATGACACACATTCATTAATATTTAAATGAGATTTATTGGTACAAGAATCTCTTGCAAATCCTTTTTACAGAAAACAAACAAACAAGCAAACACAACACACCATGGACAATGCGAAGTACGTAGTAGGTAATTAAAATTACAAGTGAATGTTGACACAAGGATGTAAATTGAGTAAATCATTTCGGACAATAGCCTTGATAAATAAACACGAAACTATAATAAATTGTTTTCTTGTATACACAACATGCTTAACCGTGGATAAATAAACACAACTTACACACGAATTATCCACGAAAAATACATTAAAATTTAATTTTACCCACAAAATAATTTACGGAATATCCACGACATTACACATGGACATTTGTGGACGTAGTTAATTCGTAGATAATGAAGTGCTTATCCACGAATTACTATGAAATCTTCCGTAGATAAAATATTCATGGGTAAGTTCGTGGTTAATGAATATATTAACCACAGATTTCCGATGAAAATATTATCCACAAAATTTTTTGTGTATAATTTGTTGTTTATTAAATTTCAATCCATACTACTTAAATTTTAAACTCTATAATGACCCTTTTTCCATTAAAAACCTAACATCCTCAAATTTACAGAGTGACACCCTTAAACTTTTTTTATATATTGATCAGAAACTACTGTAAATATTTTGAATCACATCTTCAATGATTAATTTCTCTTTCAACTAATGGTAATAGGATGATTATTTAATACTGTGATAGTAAACAATGTTTAAATTTTTATTTAAAATATATAATTATTGGTTATTTTTCAAAGTGATGTAATTAGTGAACATTGGGAACTATAATTCTTTATGAATGTGTGCAAATCTGAGTATTCTACATTTTAGTGTATACATTTGAAATAAAATAATGTCAACTCTTAGCTAAACTAAAATATTTTGATGGTAATATTGTTAGAAATATTAAAAGTCCAAATGGATTTCATATTACTTGGGATGAGAACAAAAATTATGAATAATATGTCAATCATATATAAATGTAATTGTTACTATTTAATTGATCATTCTCA